TTGTTGGGGTATATCTTCTTATTGGAGTTTGAGACCCAATTGGTTTTGGAAAAAGAATTTTAATTTGGTTTGGTTTAGGTATAATATATTTTATATATTATATCTAATTTGTGGAGACCTAATTAATTTGGTAACAATTAGGGGTTTGATAAAAAAAAAAAAACCCTAGATTCACAATATATATATATAGTTCCGAAGGGGTAGCTGGGTGAACAACATTGAAAATAAATTTGATGGTTCTTGGTTTATGCTACAGCCATAGTAATTGCTTCATCATATGCATTCGGCGGCTATTTTCATTGGTGGTTATTATAAAGCTTTGAATCTTTTTCGGCAGGTTTAGGGAACTTGCTTTGGGTCTTCTACAATTTTGGTTTTGAAGATTTTGGTTCATCTATTTGGTGAGGTCTTTCTTCTTATTTATTTGTGATTATTTGGAATTCACCTAACGGTGGTTTGTGAGACCATTCGTGTCTCGTTTGTAATCGTTTGGAAACTTATTTGGTTGATAGTGGAATCGGATTTCGATCCCGTAGACGTACCTTACATTGAGGGAACCACGTAAAATTCTTGTGTTGCTTTTGATTTAATTTTTCTGTATTAGTTTTCATTCTCATTGATTGATTTACTTGTGAAAAATTATTGATTTTCCCTAACAGTTCTCATAGATATGTAATGATAAAATTAGCGTGCGTTATTGCAACGTCAACAAAGCAAATCATAATGTAAACTTAAAAAAAATACCCTTTAAATTTAACGGTGCAACGCCAAAATGTAGAATGCACCATGGCTAAATCGATTCCTTACATGTCTTCCTATTATGATTACTCATCTTCCTACATTGGTCACAACAAATACATTGCACCACCTCACTCCTTGATGAAATCCTCTTCTGTTTCGGACTCCCCGACGGGTGCTTGACAATAGGCAGCACTATGACGTAATAAGCTGATGTGAACGTGGGTTTCCCAACCGTCAGAATGGGATAAATGGACAATGCCAACATCAGAAAAATCACAGCAAACCAACAAGATTTCTGGGATAAAAATCGATTCCCAAGTTATAGAAAAACCACGTCAACAATTGAATCCCTGCCTTCCACCATAAATCACTCTGCATAAACCGCACAAAAAATAGAAATATAAAAACGTTACCTTCCCAAACCCACACACAACACATCAATGAAAGAATCCACCTGAATCCCACAAAAGGGTAAATAGGTAAACTCCAACTATACCATGTCAAACAAAAATATTCATTACCAACTAAATATGACCAATTGGTTCATAAGAAAAATCACAAGACTAAATGGATCAACGTTCTCCAGAATGGATCAACAAATGTGTAGTTTGGCTATCCTAAATAAGTACACACTTTTTATCTTTTTATTTTTTTTCCATCACATCATCTCTCTATTTTTCTGCACATCTTTTCGTAAAAAGACAAAAAGTGTACTTATTTAGGTCATCCCAAACAATCCAATGTGTTTGAGAATGATTATTTTTCTACATTTTCGAAATTGGAATTATTAATTTTTGTTCAGTAGTTAGAGGTTGTTTGGGATGATCTAAATAAGTGTACTTTTTGAATTTTTATGAAATATGGGTTGGGTTTGGGTTGGGTTTGAAGTGATGTGTTAAAGAAGTGATGTGATTTAAATAAGATGATATGACTTAAATAGGATATTGACTTTTTGACTTTTTAAATTTTTTAAGAGTTGCCAAACTTAGCCTTAAAAAATATCACGTGTTCGTCAATTTTTTTATCTTTTACTTGTATCTCATTAATACTTGTTAGCAAGACCTTTTATTTGTTATTAGTTAAAATCTTTTTTTTTTTTGAGAGAGAGAATAAAATAAATGTTGCAAAGTGAATGATATAGAGTAATATTCTAATGAATAATTCTACATGTATTAATTAGTGTACTAACTAGTATACCAATTGATGATGTGACATAATTTAAAATATTTTTTGTACTTTTAATTTATATAATAAATGAAGTCAATAATAATGTCATAACTAGTGTTAGTATATTAATTAATACACTAATTGATACATCTAACACCACCGTATTCTAATACTATATTCACCCCCATAAAATATTCTACCAAATAACCTCTTGCTTCACTAAGCCAGCCCCGGATCCATCATGGTTCAATTTAAAGATTTGATTGGTTAACATTTTTTAGGGAAAAAAAAAAATTTAATTCAAGATTTGCTCCCTATAACAAATCAAATTCTAACTTTTTAATTATTTTAATTTGAACCCTCAACTGTTACAAATATATCAATTCTAACCATATGCTAACTAACATAATAAAGATAATTGAGACAATTTAATAACTTTTTGTTAGTAGAACTGAACGGCAACAGTGGGTACAGATTGAAAAAGGTAGAAGGGGGGTGATAGTAAGTTAAGGACGGCCAGGAGTAGGTGGTGGACAAGGAAAAAGAAACGCGGGATGGTAGTTGTCAACCGTAATGAAGGGGGTGAAAAAAATTATTAATGGTATATATTGCCTCTTCTCAATTAATTGTAACAAACAGATGATTAGAATTCATGTCATTTTAAAAATTCAATATTTAAATTGAAGAGAGAATTACAAATCAGTGTGATCTTTCAAAAATAATTACTCATTCAAAAAAAATTATATGGCTTTAATTATCAATGTTCATAAAATTTATAATTGACTACAAAAAATTTACAAAAATACACTGAGTTGTTATTTCCCCTAAATTGAAAAAATTAATACGTTTTAATTTGTTACAACCCCGTGAATTTTTATTTTTTATTTTTTATTTTTTAAATTTTCCCTAAAACATATGTTGAAGCTTATACACATCTCTTGCACTCTAAAACAGTGAGTTTTTAGCAATGTTCTCAATAGTAGTATAATTTAACAAGGGGAACTTCCTAACAAATTCCATACACAAAATTCAAAATCTATCTAATTCTAAAATAAAACATTTACACTAATTAGTCTTGTATATTTTTAATTGTTACTAAAAAATCTTTTTTTTTTTCAAAAAAAAAAATTTAAAGACAGCACTGCTACATCCCACCATTGCCGGTCCGCCGGACTTCTGTCAGACAGTTATCGAAAACTCACCGGAATGTTTAACATCGCCAGGAAGTTGCCGGAATTTCACTGGAAATTCGCCGGAATATCGTCGGAATGTTCTGAACATCACCGGAAGTCGTTGGAATTTTTAAAATGTTCGTTGGACGTTAAGAATATTGCCAGAGACTCACTAAAATGTCGAGAATATTGCCTCTCAAAAAAAAGAATAATAAACTGAGAAATTAAAGCGAAAAAAATATAACAAAATGTGCTAAATATTGATAAACTGGAAGAAAAAAAACAAAAAACAAAAAAAAAACTTAAGAACAACAAACAGCAATAATGAAAAAAAATGTTATTTTCAATTTTTGTGGGATTTAAACAAATACTTTTCAATATTGATCATTTTTTTTTTTTTTGTTTGATCAGCAAAGAAAAATTTCATTAACAGCATGAAATTAAAGGTACAGGAAGATGACATGCATCGAGAGAGATTCGGAAAGTACAAGATACCCCTACTACTGCTACTCGCATCCATACAACCAACCCCTTGGCCTCACAATTTTCTTAAATAAAAAAGTTAAGAAGAGCTTAACTAAAAAAAAAAAAAAAAAACAAACAAACTTTGAAACTATAAAATATTACAGTTTCAAAGTATGATTCTATTAAGTATTTATACTTATTAACCAAACTGAAAAATATATTATGAAACTACAACATTTTACAGTTCAAAAGAAATAAATTTGCAAAATTTTACAATTCTTAACAATAATTCATTTCAGCATCAAAACAAATTGAAAATGTAAAATTTTAAAATTTTCACCGCCTATAATTAAAACTCGTAAATAATTTGTTCAAACTTAAAAATTTTCTCCATTATAATAAGAAAATAGAAATGTGTGACACAAAAAAAATATTAAAACTGAAATATCGAATGCTAGAGACAAATATAGAGAGATACTTGTACTCTGATAATTATATTTTGATTTAGATCTAGTCAAATCTAAGGTAAATCTACTCAGAGCTCATCTCTTTCATCGTCAGGTAACACAAAGTAAGGAATTAGTACTCGATAGTTGTCCGTGAACCCCAATCAATAGTGGTCACTGGTCACTATAGATTAGAAAAAGAAAGAAAAGAAAGGTGTGATCGTGATCGTTGTCGTCGCCGCCAATTTTAGAGAAAGAAAGATAAGAGAAGAAACAAAGTATGAGATAAGAGGAGAAGATAAATAAGTATATGACTTTTGAATCCATCTAAAAATTTTTGAAATTCAATAAAATACACGCTTTTCAAAAAAAAATTGTGAATGATTTGCCCATTTAACAATAATACGTCAGTGACCAAATTTCAATATAATTTCCATTACCATCAAACATATCACCAATACAAAGGTGGGCATATTAAATGACATTCAAACTTTGATACCCAAAAGCAACTCATTGATCATTCATAAAATGATATTCAAAATTTGGTACTCAAATTTTCTCATCAAGAGATGGGAGGAAGCCTAAGTAAGACTTAAGTTCCAGACCTCGCCGGGTCGATAACAACTCATCCCGTGTCCAATAGACTTTCTGGCCATGGAGCAATCGCCATTGCTTTCTCATCAGCTCTGTATTTACATAATGCCTCAAGTCACAACCAGAACAAACCACTTCGGTCACGGAGCTCTTCCGGGATGGGAGAGCGATCTGGTGCAACCGGACAGGGAGGATATAAGGGGTGGGGGGGGGGGGGGGGAAGGTAATGAAGAAATACTAGAGAAGGAAGTCGACATTGGTATATAGACACAAAAATAAGCGGCAGGCTCATGTTTAACATCTAACCTGGCAAATGGCATATTGACTACTCAAATACCGCAACTTCACCGAAAATTACCAACATGACCATAAGATAAGATCCTTGAGATAAAACCTTCCTACTAACATTTGGTACGAAAAAAAATAAATAAATAAAATAAAAAATAAATGAAGAGCCACTCGCTCAACCACTTAAAAAAAATATACAAAATTGAAATAACTGCCAATAAGAAAAATATCTCAGCACCCATTGAGATACCTATAAACAACAGTTGACACTAACAACAAACATGCAACCCTGATCCCACAAACAAACAAAAAAAATATACAATTTCATCCAAAATGTAAGTGCAGAGGTACATAATACAACCATGTTGAATATACTCTGTGCATCATCAATCTACCTTAATGTATCATCGAAGCCCTTTATGAGTGCAAGTACATGGCATAGAACCTCTTCTACTACGCTCAACTGTGCCAACGTTGAATAGCATAACACCTGTAACACAGAACCTGCATATATCTTCAAAGTGAAATATGTTGCAACAGGTACGAAGCATCTGAAGAAGACGACGTCCTTTCCGATCATCTTTGCCTACGAACAGGTGACCTGGACCTCGATCTCCGTCCCCTGCAATAGAATGTAAAAGATCATAAACTAGAACATTTTTAAGGACAAAGTCAAAGACCCAATACTTTCACCTGGGTTGCTTATTGTTTATTGGTGTCTCAAATACATTAAACACAATCTTAAGTCTTAACCTTAGATAGAGACTGAGAAGCAACATACCTGTTGGTCTCAAGAGAAGAGTAGGGAGAATGCCTGCGCTGAGAATGCTTGCTATGAGGAGACCGCGAATCTTGTCTAGAAATGAAAACATTCCATACTAAGCCCGTGAGTCACAAAACATATAATTAGAGAGACGAATGCTCAGCTTTGCACACAGCAAAACTAAATGAGGATTGTTGGTCTGTCGCCATAATCTATTCTGCTTCAGGATGAGATAAAATAGCGTCTAATTTGATTAAATACCATTATTATTATTATCAAAAAAAATTCTACAAGATAATTCTATAGTCAACAACACAAAAAATTGATAAAACCTTAATAAACCCTGCATATATCCTCTGAAAGGATTTTCCCCTAGCTGCCCCTCATCTAAATTCTAAATAACAGGGGGGGATACTCCAACATGATTCAGAATATGGTATCCAACTATCCACAACACCTTGAGGGAAAACAAAATAGTTGAAAGGAAACCAGAAATTCATATGCACTTTATAATAGAACTCCAAGACCAAGTACTCTCTCTCCACAAGGAAAAACACCCAAAATTAAGAACATTTTCAGCAATAACAAATCTTCCCAAAAACACACTTAAAAGGTACTATAACGGAAAGTTCATTACTCCAAGTAGTTCAAGTTCAGGGTTTTGGTAGTTGAGTTGAGTTGAAGATACATTACCACCCAAGAACTTTTCATGAACATAAAGAAACAAATCACAAGAATGCTCAGCTGATTAAGAGTCAAGACAAAAAGACCACAAAATTTCTGTTCAGGCAATGGACAAGTTTTCTTACAGTAAAGTTGTTCTTATCAACATGAAAATAAATTATTACACCACCCACAAACATTAGCACAGACAAGATCACAAAACCACCAGTCAGACAATTCTAAAATAAAATTCTCTTTATACCATTATCAACTCCAAGTGATGTTTATCCAATAAGTAAATGGAGCTCAATCAGCATTTCATTTCAACCACAGTAGGCCTCGTTTGGGGAGTAATTATTTTAGCCAAAAAAATCAAAAAGTCACTATAAGATGTCACATCACTCTCTCTACTTTTCTACACATCTTTTCGTAAAAAGCCAAAAAGTTACTAAAAGAGCATGTTCTCAAACGAGGCCTGAGATTAATATGTCAAAATTGGTAAAGCAACAAAGATAGATAGCCAATGCAGAAGACCCAGATCTGAAGCCAGCAAGGCTATTTCACAAAAAAACTTGAACCATCCTCAATTATAAATGTAAACTAGCAGAAAATGAGAAAAAAATCATGATCATGAAACATGAGAATGGGAGAATTTCTTTTTCAACCCCAAGAGTGTTTCCATCTCTTCATTTTAAGGTCATAACAAAGAAACCAGTTAGAATTCCAAAAATTCAAAATTACACAAGCAACAAAAGACTAGAGTGATTCCCCACATCAAAATACAGCAATGGAATAGATTCAAGGGCAGAATTCACTCTTTGGTCAACTGGAGGCATGTCATGAATCAGTTGACTTTTGGGCAATATTATTATGAAATATCAGACTACAGCATAAGCCAAATATAATTGATTGACCAAATGAACTCCACTTTTCAACTTCCACAGCAATCTATTTGGCGGCGGCGGCGGTGGTGGTGGTGGTGGTGGTGGGATGTAGGATTCTACACCATTCAGAAATTAGCATGCAATAAAATAAAAAACCAAATGCCTAGGCAGATAGCTGCAGCAGGATGGCATGACAGCATGACAGACTGTTCAAACACATTTATTTTTATGTAAGTATGACCATTCCAAAACATATATCATAGAACTAAATAGAACTTTATGACTAATGCAGGATAGACATCTATATTACATTTATACACATGCATGTGTGAAGTTTCATACTTAAAATACTCCCTCCATCCCAAATTAATAGTCCGTCTTGAAAATTCAAACTTTTTAAGGCGACATAATCATTACACTTTGAATTCAAATTTTAAAGGATAAAATTCCAAAAATACCCTTCTATTCTCATTTTTAAATATATTTATAATTACTTTACAAGAGATAATTTTGGAAACTTCTAAATTTAAAGTTTTGACTTTTCAAAGTGGACATACATTTTGGGACAACAAAAAATGGAATAATGGACCAATAAAATGGGACAGAAGGAGTAAAACTTTCAGAGTCCACGTAGATCAACTACTCAAATACATAACAATATGAATGATGTAGGACGAGTAGGGATTACTTTCCCACTAGTGAGCCCGGGTTAAGTATACCGGCAATGGCAATAATAGACTTATAGGGCTGGATTTTGAGAGGATATATTGTCTATGAAGACAGCTGCTGGCTATAGCAAGGTTCTGACCCTTCTTCTCTTGGGTCAGAGGAACGAAGAAAAAAAACCAGTTGCGAAAGTGACCTTGGAAGTGTGGCAGGTGAGAGAGGGGTCCGAAGACGCTGCGGAGAGTGGAAGGTATGTGTAGAAAATTCCAGCGGGCAGCAAAGGCAAAGTTGCCGGCCGGCTGCCCGCCGGTGACAAAGAAATACAGGCTTAAATCTTATGCTCTGATACCATGTAGAAAATGCAATGTATAAAAAGAAATAGAGAAATGTATTATTGATTGATGTATTGTGTTGTTGTTATTACAAGGCTTCCTATTATATAGGAGAGGATTTGGGAGTAGGTGAGTGTGTGTGGTAGGTGTAGGAAAGTAGGTGAAGTAGGTGAGTGTGTGTGGTAGTGGAGGTGGTAGTGGAGGTGGTAGGTGGAGTGGGTTATGGTAAATTCTAACATTTATACACATGCATGTGTGAAGTTTCATACTTAAAATACTCCCTCCATCCCAAATTAATAGTCCGTCTTGAAAATTCAAACTTTTTAAGGCGACATAATCATTACACTTTGAATTCAAATTTTAAAGGATAAAATTCCAAAAATACCCTTCTATTCTCATTTTTAAATATATTTATAATTACTTTACAAGAGATAATTTTGGAAACTTCTAAATTTAAAGTTTTGACTTTTCAAAGTGGACATACATTTTGGGACAACAAAAAATGGAATAATGGACCAATAAAATGGGACAGAAGGAGTAAAACTTTCAGAGTCCACGTAGATCAACTACTCAAATACATAACAATATGAATGATGTAGGACGAGTAGGGATTACTTTCCCACTAGTGAGCCCGGGTTAAGTATACCGGCAATGGCAATAATAGACTTATAGGGCTGGATTTTGTAGCTGCAAAAGTATTTAAAAGATGTGAGTTTAAGGGTTTGTAAAAGGGTAGAGTCTGGGTAATGAAAACACAAGTGTTTTAGAGTTGGTGGCTATTCTAAACACTGTGAACAGTGACATGAATAGTGACCTTGCTGGAGAGAAAGAGGGGGGTGCTTCACCCTCACAAGGAATAGGCCAATCACACACACAATATCAAATTTCCATAATATTAACTCTTCTCCTAAATCATTGAGATTACACATATATTTATAAGCTAATCACTCTCCTAATTCTACCAGGTACTCATTTAAAAACTAAAAATATTTAGCAACTACTAATATTATAGACCAACTATGACTTTCAATTCTATTTTAATCACAATAGGAAACTTTAATGACTCCTAATTCTATTTCAATATTAAAATAGGAAACTTAGACTTTTGACCACTAAGATTGTTTTAGTCATAATAAAATCCATATATAATGACCCATTTAATAACTTGACCCAAAATAAAACCCATGAGCGACCCTTACAACTCATGTCCTACAATTATTGGAATTACCATTATACCCCTAAATTACTAAAACTTACCATAATGACATGAGGACTCAAAATAATTCCAAATTTTTAATTCTTTATGATCTAAATGTCCTTCACGTGAAATTCTAGATTTGCTATTTTTCTTCTTTCCATGATCGACATCAATGTACTTGTCAACGTCTCCAATCTGTTAATTGAGGAGAAAGATCCTACTCAAGATTTCTCATTTTTTTCGAAGTTTATCCCCTAGTCCTTAAGAGATCTGCTAATTTTCAACCAGAATAGCGAGCAGGAAAATTAACTGGCACCATAAATTCTCTTCCAACTCAATAATGAACTAGGAAAGTCATCTTGCATGATTTTAGGGAAAACACCAAAACTTCCTAGCCAAAAACTTATCAAAAAAATTGAACCAGAGCAAAGACAAAACAATGAATTTGAAATAGTAACAAAAAATATCAATCTAACCAACTATCCCGCATCCCCACGTAACTTCATGTCAACAATTATATATGCTATCTAGTCAAATGAATCAAGTGGCAGAAACTATTTTTTAATAAAACCCAAATATATATATATAAAGATTGTCGAGGGGTCATTATTATAATTTTTTTTCTTTTCATTTTCTCCGTGGAAGAAAAGTTATGGGGGAATTACATCCCAGTGAGACCAAAAAAAAAAAATTTACACATGGAGGGACACTTGCACCTCCACAATCTTTCATTTGCACCCCATCACAAAATCACTTGCACCACATGTTTTTGTAATTTTTTTTGTTTGTCCCACTGTGTTGAAGTTCCCCCAACAGTTATTGACAGGACATTTGGAAGTGAGTATGAAAACAAGTGAAACAACACCCTGTTGCTCAAGCTCGGCTCTTTTGCAGCTTGGGCTATGCTGGAGCTTGCTCAATCTTAGTTGTAAATTAAGCAATCTTATTTGTGTTCAGATAGTTCCAGCATGGACAAAATTAAACTAGAATCAACTTGATGGAATTGAGTGGTTAATATGATATACTAACCGGTTCTCCATTAATTGTCCTCTCACAGGTGATGAAGCTCACTTTTGTCCTTGAGCAAAAATGAGAAGCCTTTCACTCTAATGCACCAGCAAGATTTATGCATCTTTCAACTCAATTAATGGAGATCTGTTTTTGCCCTAGTTGTGATACCCTTTATATAATGTTATCTGTTACTGACTTCCTTTTCCCAAAGAATTTTATTCATGAATTTAAAATAGGTAAAATAAAGGTGAGGAAATCATAATTAATGGTCAAAGAGCACAACCCTTCTGAGAGCATGACACAATTACCCGAGCTTAGCACATTCATGGACCAAGCTGAAAGTTCAACCTTAGCTCAACTCATTAACCTAACAAATGAGCAAAAACAAGTGAATTTCCACCAAGCTGAAGGTAATAGCTTGTTGGCAGTCCTATGTGGAAGTTGAAAATGCGTTTTAAAAGATGCCACTCTGCTCCTTATAGCAATGAACTTAATACTGGTAAAAAGATGGTCATACTGGTTCTACAAATGGCTATATTCTTATTTCAATTTGGTATGACATTATTATTTAATCTCAATATTGCACTATCAACTTCTTGTTCAATTGCCTATGTAAAACACATGGAATCGATTCAATTTTCTAACTGCCACAAACCCCATGGAATATTACAACAATATCATGTCAATATATAGAGATATACATGTGTATATATGTAAATATGGTGAAATAGAAAGATAAAGAAGGAATAATGTTCAGACAAACTGAGTACCTTCGCCTAGACCTGTTAGGTGACGGTGATAAATGACGCCTTTTTGAATGTAGCTTCCTGCTGCACACAGCCGAATATGAGGACTACATTCTAGGCTGGGAATGAAAAACAGAGGAAGAGATGAGAAATCTGATTAATAACCTTTTAGAATCATCCGAGGATTCATCACTTGAATCATTGGCGTGACTAACTATTGAGTTGTCCTTGCTGTTTCTACCTCTACTGCCAACTGAAGAAGAACGACGCCTCTTATGCCTGCTTGATTCACCTGCAAGCTTATGTCTCGATCTTTCTCCCTTCTCATCCTTTGTTCTTTCTCTTCGTCTATTACTATCTTCTTCAGCAGTAGCTCTTCTGTCTCTCTCTTTTTCCTTTCTATCCTCCTTAACATCAGGATGAATAGACCTTTTTCTTGAATCAGACTCCTTTGCTTTTTCCCGAGACTTTCCACCTTGCTCTTTCATTTTTTCTTTTGAACCATTCCTATCATCTGTTCTTTCCTTTTTGGCATGCCTCTCATCCTGCCTCCTACGATTCTCATCTTCCCTCTCGTCTGTTCTATCCTTAGAACTATCTACCTCCTTAACAATGTCTTTCCCAGCAGAACTCCTTTTGGTTTCAAGCTTATCATTCTTATCTTGTTTATTCCTGGCTTCTCTACCTTGAGAATCATCTGTAGCTGACTTTTTGGCAACAAGTGGTAGTTCAGTTTTCATAACTTTTTCTCCTACACTTCGATTTGGCCTGGAGGCATCAGCATTCTCCAGCCTCTTCTCTCCATCAAAGTTATCCTCGCCTTCCGTAGCTCCAGAGACCATCTTAGAAGAATATCTGGATCCAACATTGCCATCAGATGACCCTCTACCTGTTCTATTATCACTCAAATCATTAACTACAGAACCATGACGAATTGCGGCCCCATTAGAAACCATTCTGCTGGTGTCACCCTCCACATTTCTGAGACTTTTACTGTGCTCGTCAGTTTCTGCTTGTGAACTGTCATTCTCAACTGGATGTTTATCTTCAGAAAGCTTTCTAGTACTTGGCTGCTGGTGAACAGTATTGTCATCATCCTCATCATCATCAGAGGCATAACTAGCAAGACCCAAGAGATCTCCAGGAGTGCTAGAAGTAGACTTTCCACTATCATCTTCATTTTTTGTTCCGTTGGCTTTTGTTGGAATTAGAACCTTTGCAGAAGCCTTAGGAGTTGGAACTGACGGAACTGATGGTAATAGTTTAGGCTTTGGAGCAACAACATTTTGGTCAGCTGCAATTAAGGTGAGAACATATATGTAATTTTATAAAGGAATAAATTTATCGGAGAAAGTTGAGTAGTTGCACCACACAAATAAAAAAGGATGGATACGTAAAAGATCTAGTCATATAATAATTACCTTCAACAGTCAAATCATCTTCACTTAGAACTTTCGTTGCAATTTCATCAAAAAGTTCATCAGTAACCTGTTTAAAAACAAAAGTCAAAAACACGCAATGAAACATAATACAAGAAGCTCATCAAGTATTAAATAGGTGCAACCTTCAAGAGAACTTCAGTTAGGATGCGCTTTATTTCCTGGTTTATTGCTGCTGTTCTAGCTGCTTCCACATAGTCCTACGTAGGATAAATAAATCGCAGTTCAATTCACACGTGTGATGAAGTTCACCCAGGTAAACATGGGATGATCCCAATAACATCATAAATTCATTGACCAAGTCAATGGATAGAACTCATTTAGGAAAGCAGAATTCCAAAACTAGATAGGTGAAAATAAACATCACAAAGAATCTTAAAACCTCATCATCGTCATCCTCTTCTTCAGTAGATTTAGAAGAGTCCATGGTTTTTCTATCTGCCTGATCAGCTTTCCCAAGAGAATTATCAACAGCTTCTTCATCTTCAATGGATTCAATTTCCTCTTTTGCGTACTCCGAAGTAGAATTTACAATAACAGCTTTCTTCTTAATTATTTCCTCTCTTAACCAGTTAGGTACTGAAGCCTGAAAATTTCCAAAACCAAGATTACAGGAACAACTACATGCAACTGTGTAAGCAGCAAAGCTGGAGTAGACAACTAAGGTACCTTTTTAGGGCGTTCAGAAACACTAGGAACCCCATAAACATCACCAGGAAAGGCTGCTGTTGGATGAAGGCCACTTCCTGCGCCAATGCCAAACGGTGGGCCAACAGATGGAATTGTTGGCTGGAAGCTTGCTCCAGGCATCCTTCCAAACATAGGTGCAGAATGCCCAGGAACTGGAGAAGATAAGGAAGGATCATGCTGTGAAGAATGAAACAAATATTAGCATAATCGTATCAGGGCTCTAAGATTACAGAAATATCAGGTAAGAAAAAAAACCTGTTGTCCTGATTGGAGCATTGGAGGGATTGGAGGATAAACTGCGCCAGGCAAAACAGGGGAAGTCCAAGTATGATTAGAAGGTGCAGCAGCAACATGGTCCACACCTCTTATTAGTCCTCCTGAATCAGTGTGCATATAATTTGCTTGCGTAAGTGGATCATGATTATGACTAGACCTATGTGTAAAAACTAAAGGCTGATCACTAAGATCGATTGGGGCCTCCGAAGACTGGTTTCCAACTGCATAATGGCGCTGGTCCATCTTAACAGATCTATCAATTGCAGGCAGTGGTGGAAGCATGTGGTGTGGTCCTTGACTTGAGTCGGGGAAAGACTTGTAAAACTTTTCGTTTTGATCTCCAGCCTCTTCTTTACCTGGAATTCAAATGAGTAATTAAACAACTAAAGCATTCTAAAATTTCATCTGAGACACCCAGAATTCCAATGTTCGGATTATATGCAGATAAAGCTCAAATTTCTCCACAAGTTTCTAAAACACAAGAAATGAAGACTCTTGATTAAAGTTGCAAAAACAAAAACAGTACCAAGAATGCTCTGATTGCAGTGCAGAACCTACAAGTTGAATTTACAATTATCTACAAAAGAGGGCTGTTCAGGAGGGGAAGTACTGCCATACAATAATCCAAAACATGATTTGTTTTTGATAAGTTAATCCAAAACACGATAGTAAAAAATGTAATGCATCTCCTAACTCAAACCATGATTAGTATGTGGCTCAATTTTCCCATCTCATACAGCCATTCTTGGAACCATTACATGACCAAGTGTCTTAGAATTATGTAAATATTTGTAAAAAGAACAAGTGGCATATGCAAAAAACAATTCAAAATTCTCAGCAGTATTAATAAATAGTGCACACAGTCCTTCCTTTCTGAATTAAACAATCAAATCAGAAACAAAGCCAACTGAAACAGGAAAATTAAATAAAAAAAGAAAAGAAAACATCTCAGACAGGCATGGTACTCGAGTCAAATTGTAAGAACCACTGTAAAATGTGCACTGACAATTCTCCCCAAGCAACTGACCAATATGACCACTACGATCCTGCCCCTCTTTCTCCTTCACCAGAAATATATATAAGAATAAAATTTGACAAAGCTACCAATTACACAGATCTTGGAATCATTAACAATTACTGTCAACCACGTTATGTACATGCCATTATTCTCTCAAACACCCTCCGCTACATGAAAGAATTAGTTATTTAACAAAAGCTACCAATTATGTAGATCTTGGAGTCATTAATAATCACTGTCAGGTATGTCATGTACACTGCATTATTCCTTCAAATACCCTCTGCTATATGAAAGAATTTGTTATTTGTGTCACATTTTATTTCATCGACTCACTTGGCTTATTTATCCCACTATGTGGCATTGTCAGATTGTTGCCAGGTCCACTCGTGGTTCATTACATACCTCACTTGGCTCGCCTAGCTAGGCCTCAACCTTGAAGACTCACCACACGACACCTGCGTTAGATAAGCTAGAAGCAAAGCATAGGTACATTGCTCAAGACTACTAGAGGACTTGTGGATTGGAGGCTAGCATTCCAGGTTGTAAGGATGTCGCCGAGCTCCCGCTTGCCCTCGGGGAAAAGATGCACTCAGACTAGTCTTAGAGAGAGAAGGGTCTTTGTCCAAGACACGTGTACCTCGATAATTATATTATATCATACCTACCTCTGAGCTATTTTTCCATCAACCAACAGGCATACATAACAACTGTCCGCATGTGATATGTCACCCAAGGCTGCAAAGTTGACTAAGTTTCCTTCCATTTTGCCTAACCAAGAGAGGTTACACCACCCTTCTTCGGCTGTGATGGCTCGCCACCATATATAAAGGGAATGTCCATGCGTGCAGCAACACACTGAACATCCTCTTGCTCCTCTGTAGCAAGAACTCTCTCTCTCTCTCAGCTGCCTGAGCTCTCCTGCCTCCAACTGTCTCCAACCATCTCGATGACTACCATCTTCCCAGCTCATCTCCAACAATCCACAAAAGTATTTCGGAAATTCATATGATCAAGGGATTTTGCATGGCAGGCTCTCTTATGGTGATGATTGTTTGGCCCTATTCAAGGTCCATCTGAACCTATTTGGCACCCGCCTGCATTTAACAAGCCTATTTATCACCACCAACTATCATCAAGAAACTACTAGCAAGTAGCACACCATTTGAAGGTTATTTGAACACTCATAGCCATGTGGCTTATTTCTTAGCGACTCAATTGGCCACGGCTTGACTATTATAAAGTTGGTTTAGATCATCTGAGACATTTTATCGACTACTTTGACCAAAGCACCAACAAGCCATCTTATTAAATTTCTTTTATTCCAAGTCAACGTGTTTTTCTTATCCAAAAAATTATTCTTACTAATCGATTGAAGTTGAGAAAATTACGTCCTTATTGTTGCAAACCACTTTCATTGTAGTGTCCGAGTAGATACTAGTGCTTTGGGCCTAACTCCTTGACTCCTTGGTACTCGATCAAATTGATGTTTACAAGGTGACACGGAGCATTTCATGTATAAAATAGGGTTTAATTCATAGTTTTATGGTTAACTCGAAGTACTAAATATGCTTGTTATGTGAATGTCCAACTACACATATGAGACATATATTTCAACCCTTACTCAAGCATCAAGAGCTCGACACTAATACTTCATACATTTAGAAGAGTCCATGTATCTTGCTTTTGTCTCGTTGCTACACTCTTACGTTTCTTTAGGGTGACAAGGACCATTTTGCTGGTGGTGTCATATGGGTGGTGTCCTGCACAAGGAAAGATATGTAATGTTGATCCAAGTGGGGCACATGTCATACAAAGGACAAGAAGAAGTTGTTGAACGCATGTGCATGTATTAAAGAGCCGGAAACTACAACCAAATGGATTATAATGAAATGAGTGCAACGAAGTGGGCCCATTGGGCTGTGACCCATGTAGGATTGTCTACCATAATTTTTTAGTGCATGGTCGTATTGGAATGTCGTATTTTGGCAAAAGATGTCCCCCTTTGTTATTTAGGTTATACATGTTTCTCTTAGGCTGTGATAGATTTGTTTTTGAGCAGGTCGTGTTTCCAATTTTTGAGGAATGTGTTGAGTGTTTTTGTGGGCTTCGTATCAAGCATAATTGTAATATTTTTCTTTCAGTAATAAAACACTTAGCCAGAGAGAGATGAAAGGAAAGGAAAGGAGATGAAAAAGTGTGCATCAATACTAATGAAGCTTACCAGCATCATGAAGATTTGGAAACAGAAAACTATGGGATAGTAAGTTTTAATACAGAACATACCTCATATTACAAGCAGGCCTAAATAGGAAAGAACTTTCACAGATAGAAGGTAAATCAATTAAAGAATACTTTTACAATAATCAAATAAAAAAAGAATTTACTACTAGAACGGGATCAAAAGAAAAATGAGCAAATAAATGGAAAAAGAGGCAGAAAAAACATGTACACAGTTTTGATAAAGTTCATAATATCATAAATTTGAATCTCAACAATGGCTTCGACTAACAAATTATATAAGTTAACAGGATCAACAAATGACCTATGAGTGACTTCAGACACAATTTGGAAAATAAGTAATTAAAAAATCCGAGTACTACAGAAGCAGTTCTTGAGCACATCCTTCACATGCAAAATCAATATGCCAAGTAAATGATTACCTGTAACAGAAGAATAACTAGAAGGTACCTCCTGCAGATGAACCGATGAACTTGTAGGTGAACTTTCTTGATGAGGAAATACAGCATTTGGATCTCCTGCCAAATTTCCATCTCTAGCACTGTAAGCTAAATGCTCATCTGGAACAAAAGAAGATTGCCCAGAATTGATGGATGCAGACTCCTGCAGATGAACCATGGGTGGCCTGTGTGGGGGTGCAGCTGGAGGTGGATACTGTTGATAGCTCGTTGCATGAAGTGACGGTTTAGCCACGTCAGGATAATGAGGATCAGCAGTTTGTGTATACTGATCATGATAATGACTCTGTTCTTCCGGTCTGCCAACTGGTGTATACTGTGACTGTGAATGCTGATCATCTGTTGCAACTTTGGCTGCGGCCCACGCTCTGGCCTTGGCAGCCCAATCTTCTTCATTGCTATGAACTGCCATTGCAGTAATCATGAAAAGTTTAGCATACAGTAGGTAACATATGAGACAAAAGTTTTGTTGAGGCTGGAAAACACTTCTACCAGTATTTCTTGGCCCTAGGGGAGGGGAACACTGCCAATGTCCTAAAAGATAGAAAAGGTCCAAAGGAACAAATGAAAAAAACAAACAACAAAATAACCACCGTCAGCTATGACAAGCGGTAGCATGACGAAGGTGTGAAACATCTTTCTTTTTTTTTTATATATAAATAAGATGTGAAACGTCTATTTTTACATCCTGCTCCAATAAATGCAAGTCAAACTCCTCGGTTGGACAATATTTAGCACTGCTCATAACCAAGCATTCTTGGAAGAAGGCACTGGCTGATGATTTTTCCTTCTTAACAACCTGCTCCCCCCCTTGATGCAGATAAGTCCCAGGCCAATGTTTCATTGGCTGTTTTTATTGGGGGAAATTTATACAAGTCTCCTAGCACCTTTGCACAATATAATTTCTTCCACCCACTAAAACCCCCAAAAACCAAATGTGGCATAGGAGGGCAATATAAGTAAAAAACAAGAACTAATATGTTGTGCTATGAATGAAAATCAATTACTGCTTATTTAAAAAATGTTGCCTATACTTGTAAAAGTACATGTTGAATACTTCCTATACATGCAAGTAACTTGGAAATAAATTTTATTCAGAAATTAAACCTGATATGTCTTGGATACTTAGGGCCACAAGTTTGATATGATTTACATACAGCCTACATTATTAAAGTATAACTCTTAGGAAAAAGTGGCATAACTGCCTTGTAAATACTTGTACTAGTTTGTAAATAAGAATAGTTATGCTCCGTTTGTTTCGGCAGAAAATTTTTTCCAAAGAAAAAAAAATTCAAAAAACATTTTCTATAGTTTTTCCAATAAAATATTTTTCACATGTTTGGTTGCGTTCTTGAAATTAATGTAATAATGGTTACATTAGTGGTGGCGGTAGGGTGGAGATGTTGTGTGTGTGTTGGTTTTTTTTTTTTTTTTTTTTTTTTTGGGGGGGGGGGGGGGTGTTTGGCAGCTGCGATAGTGGTGTAGTGGTGATGGTGATAGTAATAAGGTAGAGGTGGTAGTGCAATGTCTGTGGGGCGGTGAAGGTGGCGGCGGCGGCAATAACAATGGTGGTTGTGGTCGTGGTGGTGGTGGAGGTGATGGTAGTGGTGGTAATATGGTGCCACTGAGAATTATTTGTTTTGGAAAATGTTTTCTACCTTTTAAAAGTGGAAAACATTTTCCGCCCAAATATGCTTGTTTCCATTGACCATAGAAAATATTTTTTGTTGACTTTTATTTTCCGTTGTACTAAACGGGGAAAAAATGCGGAAAGAAAATGTTTTCCACCCAAACAAACAGAGCATTAAGATAAATAGATAATCATGTCAAATTTTTTTTTTTTTTTTTTTTTTTTAGGACAATCTCTTTTTGCAGCTCAATCCTCAAAGTAATAATTATGCCAATTTTGCCTAAAAATCTCTTCAGGTGATCAAGAGAGCCCCTTTTTTCAGTAGAAAAGAATATGATGAAAAGTATTTCTCAACACTTCTTCTCTCTAGCTTGCTTTTGTAATCATGTAAAATTTGTTGCCAAAATCTCATCCAACATACCCCTCAGTTATAATAACCACATGCAGCGTTTCAAAATTTTATGTAGGCTTGTCGCAGCGTTTCCATAGTTTATAATATCCACATGCAGGTAATATCCAAGTGTATACCTATATTAGGGCAAATTACCTACAACTCCCTTGAGGTTTAACGAAATTACAATTCTCCCCTGAGGTTTCAAAAAATTACATCCCGCCCCATCTCAATTAACGGATATCATAAATTGACTAAAATGTCCTTTTGACAAATAAGGGTAAATTACCTACACCCCTTGAGGTTTAACTAAATTACAAATTCCCCCATGAGGTTTAGCTAAATTACCATTTTTAAATAAATTATGAAATGCAAAATTAAAATGAAAAAACACTTATCACACTACAAAAAATTAAAATTTTAGAGACCAAAATTTAGGGACAAAATTATTTTTAGGAGTCCAAATATTTTTGTTGCGAAAAGTGTCATTATATTTTTAGTAACAAAAATTGAACATTAGTGATTAATTATTATCGTTTTGGTATCAAATTTTTGTCTCAAAAAATAAATCATTTTGAGACCAAATTATTTTGTTCCTAAAAGTCTATTTATTATTGACAATTTCGAAATTTTATCGCTAAAAACCTTATTTTTTACTTTTCAGGTCAACCTTTAAGCGACTATCCTCACGATGATAGAAACTAATTCCTAAATGTCTTTTATAACAAAATTTTTACTTTTAGAGATCAAAAAAATTGGTCTCTAAAACTCATATATATTGTAGTGTCAGATGGTGAAAATATCATAAAATTAACAAATAATTAAATAAGCTAAAAACACAATAAATGGCTTGTCAAAAAATTCTTAAAATATGTTTGGTTTGATTTTTAGAAATTTATTTTTAAATTTTTTTTAAAAAAAATTAAAAATTAATTTGGTTAAGAAATAAAAAAAAATTATTATTATTATTTTATATAATTTTATCTTTTGAGTGGTTAAAAATAATTTTTACAAATTACATATATTTTTTCATATTTATTTTTATTAAATTTTTTCTTTTTTAATTCTGGAATTTTTTTCTAAACAACAAATCAAACATGATCCCAAAAACTTACATTTTTTTATTTTTCCATCTAACGTAATTCTTTTATAAATTTTGTTGATTTATCAAAGAGATTTCAACAGGGCCAATATCATCCATCAAGTTATATTTTGGTGATGTCAGCTAACCATTCTTAACGTTTAATTAACGGTAGGAATTAAATTGTTATGCGAATATAAACTTCGGGAGACAGGATGTAATTTCTGAAACCTCAAGAGGGAATCTATAATTTAGCTAAATCTCAAAGGAGGTGTAGGCAATTTGCCCTTTATATTATATTATAAACAAGAGGAGACAACCCGGATACAAAGGCAAACTCAAACAACAATAAACCAACTAAACATCCAAAAAACCTGCAGAAACAGATGATCTTATAGAGACAAATGATTTCCAAAAACTAATTTGCTTAAATCAACTGACCTGGATACTCCCAACCTTGATGATGACCCCAGTTCGCATTGCCCCAATCCTACAAAAATTTATGAATTACTTCTAAGTTCACATGTGTAGTGATTGACCCCAATTTTCATTGAGCAGGTATGCACTAAATTACAGACCTCTAGAAACAAAAGAAGCAAAAGATATATCACATCCTCCAATTACAAGTACCAGGTTTCCTTTAAGCAAAATATACATGACTCAAACTGTCAAATACACCTTTACAAGATATAAAAAGCCTAAATTCCTGCTATTGCTATGATTATGAGAGGAAAAGGTTAAATATAAAGGTAAAAAAATTAACAAAACAGTATTTTACATTCTTTGCATGAAGTGGTAATAATAAGGAAAAAGAGTGAAACATAAAATAAGAGAAGAATGAGAGAATGGAGTTATTGGGTCAGTCCAAGGTTCTGAAAAGCGGTTGCGGTCGCTGTAACGGTGGCGGTGACGCGGTTGCGGTTGCGGGGTGTAAAGGCCATAGCGTAACGGTTGCGGTAACCGAAACCGTGAATTTTTTTATTTTTTATACAATTTGAAAAAAACTTACCGATACGCACATTTTTTTTCCATGATCATATTTATTGGGTTTTAAAATAAATATTGATTAATTTTTATAAATTTTTAAGTTTGATCCAATATATTTCATATTTTTAAATCACTATAAATAAACTGAGTTTTTTCCATTTTATTTTAATAATTAATGACTTTATATTATACAAAAAATCAATCACTACCTACTATATATAAGATGAACAATGACAAATGTAAAAGAATAAATAAAAGCCTAAATATATATATATATATATATTAATCAAGCCAAATAGATAATGACTACACTTATTATTACTATTATTATTATTATTATCAAACAATATATAGATAGACACACAAAAACAAAATGGTTGAGTGATAACAGCTGAATAGAATAGCATAGGTCTTACAATTTCAACAAATCAATAACATGTTCTTCATCTTCCCTATTCTCTCTCTCTATCTCTTGTTCCTCCATCTTCCCTCTTCCCTATCTCTCTTCCCCCATTTTCAACTCTTTTTTTTTTTTTGTGTTTTTTTGAAAGAAGCAATTTAAAACCGTTACGTAACGGCGCGTAACAGGCCGTTACGGCACCATTACGACCGCTATAGCAGCCGCTACGGCCGATATACCTTTGAATCTCAATCACACTGCAAAAGCAATCACACTGCAAAAGCGGCCGTAATGGGTGGCGGTAACTACCACAACCGTTACGTAACGGTTGCGGCCGCTTTTTAAAACCTTGGGTCAGTCACAGTGGATGTCCTAAGCCAAAGCGGAATTTTAAGCAAGTGGAAAAGTGGTAGTTTAGTCGCATCGCGTTGCTTGTTTCTTTTTCTTTTCTAGAAAATAGTAAACATTTTTCAGGGGAGAGTGCAAAGGAGGGCCAATGGGCCATACTTCTATTTACAATTCATCCTTTTTTTTCACTTGTTTTGGTAACAAGCGTTTAATTTTGGAGCCTTGTTTTCAAAAATAAAAATAAAAATATACATGGAATAGAACAAAAATATGAAACCGAACACAAATCAAACAGAAATGTAATTAGGTTTTAACAAAATGTCAAAGTAGTAGATGAAATAAAAACTGATGTTTTTCCATCTGAAGGGTCTACCCAGCTGCACTGGATGGTTGAATTCCTGACCATGTGTGCCTAAGAGTGAGCACTCAAATTAAGACGATAATTCACCAAATAATAAACCCTTTGATAAGTTGCGGTTTGTTTGGGGGGTGGCTTTTTGGCTACCAAACCAAGGTATCACATCACTCTCTCTACATTTTTTTAACACTTATTTTTGTAAAAAATCAAAAAACTAACTAAAATAGTGAACTCCTAAATGATTTTCAAACAATTATTATGGAGATTGAAATTGACAAGGCTTTGTGGTTAAAAGCAAAGTTCTTTTTTGATACTGGTTAAAACCCAAAAAAATGGCGACTAACCCTAGCTCCACAAACTATGAAATCAATCCATTACATTTAGCAATCACCATTCAAAACCTAACTCATACAACAGCATTCAAACAATAAAATCAAAAATTAAAAATAATAATTCTTACTGTGAATTAAAACCCTAGATAGCTCAGAGAAGAAAGCAATAATAGATCGAGAGAAGCTTATGAGTAGTAGTGTTTACCTGAGGATAAGATTGGGGAATCTGAGAATGAGGATGATATGGAGGAGGCACAGGAGGTCGATGAGAAGGAGGAGGAGGAGGAGGAGGAGGGTACTGGTTGTGAACGGGGTGCGAAGGATAAGGAGGCGGCTGAGTAGCATACTGAGGCGGCGGAGGCCACTGCTGGTGAGGCGGTGGTGGTGGAGGAGAGGGAGAGTATTGCGATGGTGGAGGTTGGTAATGGAATTGGCCAGGATACCAGGGGCCAGGGGGAGGAAGGGGTTGGTGGTGGTGGTGGTGGTGGGGATCCGCCATGGACGGCGGAGGAGGTGGTGGAGGAGGCCTCATGTAGCGGTGGGGCTGTTGATAGTCCATTTTTGTTGGTGGTGGTTCTGCAAATCTCCCTCTGGTGTTTAGGACCTAGAGGGGCTTTTTGTTGGTTGAGATGGTGAATGGAGTGGTGAGACAAGGGCTAATGGGAGGATGGGGGAACAAATGATGTTTAGGCTTTGTTTGGATGTCATTTAAAATTTTAATTTATTTGTTTTAAAAGCATTGGTTTGGGAAATTGAGTTGAGATGTGTTAGGGTTAAAATAGTCGTAAAAAAGATAAAATAAATTTTTTAGTTTTAGAATATAAAAAAAAAAAAAAAGCCATATCTAAAACTATAATAAATTTTTTTTTTTTCACAAAAGTTAAAAAAATTAAAAAACATATCCTGAATGAAACTTTTTAATTCCAAACTAAAATAATTAAAAGATTAACTCATATCTCAGCCAAAGTATAATTTTCTCTAATACTGGTATTAATTGACAAATTTATTTATTTTTTATTTATTTTAGTCACTTTAAAAATTATTTTCTCTTTCAAATTTACTAGAGAAGGCAGCGTTTCTAACATTTTTCTCTCTTCTATTACTCTTTTGCAAATTTTTCCCCACTATTTTTTATTTAATTTTTATTGTTCTTTTGCTTTTCATCACCATATTAGTCGCTACCAGATAGAGATCCAATATCACCAACTGTATTTTTTATACATTAAGCGACAATTTCACATTCAAAATGATTTATTTTGTAACATATATATAATAATTATGTTATAACAGTTATCACTTGCGACGATAGACAGATCTTGAAGGTGTTTAGTGGTGATTGTTCCAATGTTTTCTTTTGTGTTTGTGTTGCAACAATATCTCTTCGCATAGAGGTTTCATCTTCTTGTATAAACTTTCTTCCCTTTACATAGACGCTTGTTTTTCTTTTTTGTGCGGAGGCTATTATCCTCCCTACATTGAAGCTCTCTTTAGAAAAATTCTATTTACACACCGTGTTTCTTCTCATTACACACCATTAGACAACTCATTTTTTAAATTCGTCTTTTGTTATGATATATACTAGGGGTTTTTTTTTTAGAGTCCCTGATATTCAGATTTTATAGTATAAAAGACATTCAATATTTTCATTATGTCTAAGGTCCCTCAACATTGATCCAGAGAAATTTCAATCCAGAGAAATTCGCTCCAGAGAAATTCTGAACTTCCCAAAGAATTTCTCTGGGTTCAACCACGAGAAAATTCAAATTTCTCTGGATTCATTTTGACCAATTTTCTCTGGTTTCAAATTTCTCTAGGTTCATTTATAAACCAGAGAAAATTCAAATTTCTCTGGATTCATTTTAACCAATTTTCTCTGGATCACAATATCATCTTATGAAATCATTTTGGCAGACTTTAGACCAATTTCTCTAAGTTCAAATTCAAATTCTTCCTCCAGAGAAATTCTTTGATAGCCATCATCATCATCATCATCATCATCATCATCTTCTTTCTACATCAAATAAGTAGCTGTAGTAGCACCATGAAAGCCATATAAGCAAAAGCACTTTCATAGCATCAACACAAATACACAACATAACAAATGATTAACTGGAGGTAGCATGAGACAATAACAAAGCTTCCAGAGAAATTTGAACAACCCAAAGACCTACTAGATAAATTTGAACAACTAGAGAAATTTAAACAAACCAAAGACCTACCAGAGAAATTTGAACAACCAGATAAATTTGAACAATCCAGAAAAATGCTCTGGTCCAAACCATTGCAAGGTTTATGTTCTTAAATCTGTTGTTTAATTAATAGTTTGGGTTGATTTATTCAAATGGTTGTTGTTGTTGAAGGCAGAGAAAATGGTAAACAAATCAAAAAAAATAAATTAAGTAAACCAGAAAGAATTTTTTTAGTTTTGAGAGAATTTCTCTGATTTGGACCAGAGAAATTCAAAGCTAGATGGTTGTTGTTGTTGTTAAAGGCAGAGAAAATGATAAGGAATTTCTCTGGATATCTATAAAGCTGTGTCCTCATGGGAATTGAAGTCATGAGAGCATCCTCTCAGGCATCCTCTTGTCGTTGTCGAATGAGGAATCATCCGCCATAGCAACAAGCTTGAATGTGTTTTGATTCCTCGTCAAATCGATGTCAGTTAGGGTTGAATAGGAGTGCGAGGCATTTCTGAAATCAAATTTGGAATTGGCGGTGGTGGTTGAAGCGGTGGCGTTGAGAAGGCGGTGAGTTTGGGGATCGAGGCCCCAAACGATGAGCTCTCGCTTGATACGAGTGTTCCAGTAGTTCTTAATCTCGTTGTCAGTTCTACCTGGTAATCTTCTAGCTATCAATGACCATCTGAAAAAACAAATTCAACAAAATCAACAATTATAGTTTCAAAATTTGGATTTCTTTTTTGGATTCTGTTTGATTGCCAAGAAAACAAATTCACAGCTGCTAAGCAACCAATTCAAAAAGTTGTCATGATTTCTTTTTTTCAGATGCGAAACAAAAGCTGATGAAAAGTAATTAGAAATGAAATTGAAGGAGAGAGATAAATAGTATACTTGTTTCTGAGCAAGCTGTGAAGTTTATTAATGAATTCGTCTTCTTGTTCAGTGAAATTCCCTCTCTTGAGGTCAGGACGGAGATAGTTAATCCATCGGAGTCTGCAACTCTTGCCACAGCGAAGCAAGCCTAAGTCAAATTTCTCTAATATATGTTTAGGGATCTTAGATATCAAAAAATAATATTGTGGATCTCTTCAATTACTAAAAGTGGAAGAGGAATCTTAGACTAATTTTCCCTATATTCTATTAGACAACTCATTATTAGATGTGTAATATATTAAGTTTCATGTATTTCAATCTCCAAAATTAAAAAATAAAAAATAAATAGAACTCTAAAAACATTAAAAAGGTCAAAATATTAGAAATATGTCAAACAAAATATTCTTAATCAATAAACTAGATTTTATTTTTTTTTTAATCTAACTTTCAATAGAAGGCTTAGTAGTATATAAAATTTTAGGTAATATAGACAATTTTATACATGTTTATGTAAATAAAAATGAAATTTTTAGAGAATATATCAAGGGATTTTTATTGATAAATCCCATTTAGAAGTGTTTTAACCTAAGAAGTCCATGAAGGAATTTGTAACCCATTTAGTCCCATGTGTATATAGTTTTATTCCATAAAGTCTTTTTTCTTAATTTACACTATTTTCTTGGACACTTATGCCCTTATATTTAATTTTAATGCCATTATAAATATTTTTTGAACGGTTAGCAATTTTATGATGTGAACATTCATATTTTAGGCCAAGTTTGGCAACCCAAAAATAATCAATCTTTTTATCTTTTTATCTTTTTTTCATCACATCACTTCTCTACTTTTCTACACATCTTTTCATAAAAAGGCAAAAAGTACACTTATTTAGGTCATTCTAAACAACCCTTTAAAATTCACATTGGTAGGAATGTAAAATTAACCCATGGGCGGCCTGAATCCTGCCCGCGAGCCGGAGCGAGCCCGGCCCGTTGACAATGTGAATATTCACATTGACATGTTAACATTCACATTAATAGAAATATAAAATTGGCTCGCGTCCCGTGGCGAGGCGAAACCCACCGGCGGCCCATGGGTGGCCTAGGCCGGGCCCAGTCCGGCCCGTTGACAATGTGAATATTCACATTGACATGTTAACATTCACATTAATAAGAGTATAAAATCGGCCCGCCGGCCCATGGGCGGCCAAAAGCCCGCCCACGGCCTGGGACTAGCCCGGCCCAGCCCGTTGACAATGTGAATATTTACATTGACATGTTAAGATTCACATTGATAGGAGTGTAAAATTAGCCCGCGCCCCGTGGCTGCCCGAAACTCGTCCACAGCCTGTGGGCGGCTCGGGGCGGGCTCGACCCAGCCTGTTAACAATGTGAATATTCACATTGACATGTTAAGATTCACATTGATAAGAGTATAAAATTTGCTAGCGGCCCAAAGCGGGCCCGACCCCGCCTGTTGATAATCTGAATATTCACATTGACATGTTAACATTCACATTGATAAGAGTGTAAAATTAGCCTGCAGCCCGTGGGTGGCCCGAAGCCCAACCGCAGCCCGAGGCGGGCTTGGCCCGACCCGTGACATTGTGAATATTCACATTGACATGTTAAAATTAACAATGATAGGAATGTAAAATTTGCCTACTGCCCGAAGCTTGCCTACGGCCCGGGGTAGGCCCGGCCCGTTGACAATATAAATATTCGCATTGACATGTTAACATGCACATTGATAGGAATGTAGAATTGGCCTGCGGCCCATAGGCTACCCGAAGCCTGCCCACGGCCCGGGGTAGACTCGTTTAGGTCCAGGCCCGAGCCGGTGGGTCGAGCCTCGGGTCGAGCCGATGGGCCTGGGCCTAGCCTCAGGCTTGGGTCGGGCTTGGGCGAGCCTAGCCATTTTTTTTTAATTCTTTTTAATTTTTTCTACTCAAATTTTATTATTTTCCACAAAAAAAGACACTAGGCCTCGGGGCGGGCCGAGCCTCGGACCGAGCCTTGAATGGGCCTTTAACCAGGCCAATGGGCTGGGCCGGGCTTCAAAGTGATGGCCCAGGCCCCAGCCTAGGGTCTCGGACTAGGCTCGAGCCTAGGCCCAAACGAGCCTTTCCCGGGTCGCGGGTGGGCTTCGTGCAGCCTACGTTCTTTTTGACTATTCCATTAAGTCCTACTTGAGGTAAGAAGACCAAAATACCATTTTCATCTACTTATATTCTATTTAGTCCACATTATTTTCTTATGTTTCAATAAGTTCTATGGGAGACATAATTACCAAAATACCCATAATGTGAATGTTCACATCATCGATGTGAATGTTCATATCATCAATGCATAGAGGCCCGGGCCGGCCCATATCGAGCCTCGTGGGTGTTCGAAAAAATTCGTGCCAGGCTGGCTCGGCCCACAGACCAAAAAATTAGGCCTAGGCCCTAGCCCTGACACAAGGGTATTCGGGCTTTGGACGGGCCGATGGATTGAGCCTTGGGTCAAGCCGGTGGGCCTGGGCCTAGCCTCGAGCTTAGGTTGGGCTTGGGCGGGCTTGGCCATTTTTTTAAAATTATTTTTAATTTTTTGTACCAAAATTTTATTATTTTCCACAAAAAAGACATTGCGCCTCGGGCGGGCTGGGCCTCAGACCGAGCCTTGAATGGGCCTTAAGTGGGCTGATGAGCTGGGCCGGGCTTCAAAGTGATGGCCTAGGCCCTAGCTTAGGGTCTCGGACATGCTCGAGCCCGGACCCAAACGAGCTTGTCCCGGGCCGTGGGCGGGCTTCGGGCAGCCCACGGGCCGCGGGCCAATTCTACATTCTTATCAATGTGCATGTTATCATGTCAATGTGAATATTCACATTGTCAACGGGCCGAACCGGGCCTACCCTGGGCTGCGGGCAAGCTTCGGGCAGCGGGCAAATTTTACACACTTATCAATGTTAATGTTAACACGTCAATGTGAATATTCACATTGTCACGGGTCGGGCCAAGCCCGCCTCGGGCTGCGGTCGGGTTTCAGGTCGCCCACAAGCTGCGGGCCAATTTTACACTCTTATCAATGTGAATATTCACATTGTCAACGGGCCGGGTCGGGGTCGCCCTGGGCCGCTGGCCAATTTTATACTCTTATCAATGTGAATATTCACATTGTCAACAGGCCAGGCTGGGCCTGGGCCGCCCACGGGCCGTGGGCGGGTTTCAGGCAGCCACGAGGCGTGCTAATTTTGCACTCCTATCAATGTGAATGTTAACATGTCAATGTGAATATTTACATTGTCAACGGGCCGAGTCCGCCCCGGGCCCGGGCAGGCTTTTGGCCGCCTATGGGCCGCGGGCCAATTTTATACTCTTATCAATGTGAATGTTAACATGTCAATGTGAATATTCACATTGTCAACGGCCCGGACTGGGCCCGCCCCGGACTGCCCATGGGCCGCGGACGGCTTTCGCGCCGCTACGGGATGCGGGTCAATTTTGCACTCCTATTAATATGAATGTTAACATGCCAATACGAATATTCACATTGTCAACGGGCCAGGCCCGCCCCGGTCCGACTCGAATTTTTTCGGGTACCCACGAGGATCGACATGGGTCGGGCCCCTACACATTGACGATATGAACATTCACATTGACAGTGTGAACATTCACATTAGGAGTATTTTGGTAATTATGTCACCCATAGGACTTATTGAAACATAAGAAAATAATGTGAACTAAATGAAACATAAGTAGATGAAAAGGGTATTTTGGTCTTCTTATCTCAAATAGGACTTAATGAAATAGTCAAAAAGAATATGGGTTAGATGGAATAAAACTCTTAAAAAGTAGATTTATCAAAAAAGCTCCCATAGATCAATAAGCTCACAGTTGAAATAAGAAAAAATTAGAGGGAAAGACATCATGATAATTTAAAATTTATCATAATGAAAAACTGACTCTTAATTAAGTTTTTTTTTTTCTCTAAATTATATAATAATTTGATTGCTTTTCGTGAAAATTTCATATTTCAAGAAATATGAAACATTTTAAAAGTAAAAATAATAGATTCTCTAATATTTTAAATTTTATTATTCATCCTTGGCTTAAATAACAATATTAGATCAAATTACATTACATTATTTACTAATTTTTCAAGTGTTATGTGTTATTATTCACGTGATGCTCTCAATTAATGATATAGTACAAAATTTTACATATTAGAAATACTTCGTAATTTTTCATTTATAAGTATAACATATAAATAATATCACATAATATTTTAAAACCATCTAATAATTTTTCCATTATTTTCTTTGGTGGCCTCTTTCCAAAATCTCGCTATAAGATAAAGAGAGAGAATCTGTTATGCTTTTTTTTTATAGAGAGTAACAGTGGAGCACCGTGGTAGATAGGGGCAAGACTTGCTTACTTGGCTATATATAAAAAAAAAAAAATTGTTTTTTTGGACCAATGGGAGAGGACCCCCAGTACCCCCACTGGGGGTCCAAAGCTTTATTCATAAGATAAAGAGAGAGAATCTGTTATGCTTTTTTTTTTATAGAGAGTAACAGTGGAGCACCGTGGTAGATAGGGGCAAGACTTGCTTACTTGGCTATATATATATTTTTTTTTGTTCATAATCGCTTGCTTTACTTGAACAAGAAATAACATTTTACAATTTGTTTTTGGTTCTTTAGAGTAGAGATCTTATGTTGTTTTTAACTTGTATTTCAAGGCTGGGACTGGATTGTCTCTAGTTAGGTAGCCCAATTAAATTATTCAGTCTGACACATTTCGAGTTTTCTCAATAATTATTACCGTTCAATATATAGAATTCATCGAGTAATTTATTCATGCAAAAAATCACATTATTCAAATATCGATAGCCAGTTGATTAGTTCACATTAACGTGATTTTTTGTAAAAATGAAATACTCAACAAATTCTACATATTAAACACTTCAAATCATTGATTTGAAATCCATGATAGGCCCACAGAAATCCAACAACATAGTCTAATCCGATTAGGACGGGAGACGGACCTATGCCTTCGGGGTTAGTATCTCAAAATTTGCACTCATTGTGATGCTAGGTGGTTGGCTATTGCACTAAAAATCTTCTTGGAAGGAAAATTATTGGATGGTTCAACCAATCATAAAACACCATGCTCTCTTATATTTCCCAATCATTCAATACAAAATCGCATGCCTCATTCCTTTCACCAATTACAATACACATGGAACACCACGTATTGTTGCCCCAGAACTAACCAATACATTCTCCATTGGAAGGGTCTTTCCTTGCAAATCAGCTTTCCTTTTCAACTTGGGAGCACTTAATCCTTCCAAAATGTAAGTTAATCCGGCTGATGCAATACAAGGATACGTACAAGATTTTAATCTTTAAACGCACTCAAACAATGGAATAAATGAGACTTTAGACGAGATTCTTATTCAGTCTTTCCATGCAAACATAGCACCATAAAATCAGACTGATGAGTTTTATGATCCTTTTTGCTTCCTTGTTCTAATACACGATGGTACTTGAACTCCAAGACACCAATACAAAGTTTCAATCGTAACCTAGGAAATATAAATTGTTTCATCTAATCTGACTTGTAACAAACAATTATTCTTGACGGTGACACAAATATAATAGAATACAAAAAAAAAAACAAAAACAAAAATTGATGCATCGGACATTACATGACCATACCAACAAGAAGAATGCAGCATTCATGTGTTGTTTTTATTCGATTCGCAACATAAATAATTTTTATTGATATTGGTTCCTGCAGTTATAATAGAAGATTAAAGAATCAACATAGTGCAAATATGCACCATTGTGAACCTCATGCATTTTATTCTTTTGAGTTACACTTTGTGGCCCTAACCTTGTCGAAGCGTTCTTAAAAACTAAGCAAGCAAATAGGGCAAAAAGAATATGGTGAAGTATGTTCGGGATGAAGCTGCCACACTTTCTTCTGAGAGCTTCAATATGGCTGCGCTGCAACTGCTTCAATTTTATAAATTATACCCTCTGTTTCTCTGTCAGGAAATTCCATTCGTTGCTGGAACAGTGCTAATGTACAAATCCACCAGTATAAATGCACCGTTGCATCTCCATACTACCATTGACGATGATCATCACTGAAAGAGGAAAACATATAGGAAAATCTAGTTCTTCAACTTGTACCAGATCATGCCACAGCATCAGCTTGTCTCTTGGTTAGTCGTGCATACAAGCCATCTTTAGTGAGAAGCTCCCAATGGTCGCCCATCTGCATGTAGGAATATAAGTTGGTGTCATACTTCACTGAAAAAGTAACAAAAATTAATATGTGCAAGTACTTGACATGATCAGAACTGTTCCAGTCAGTTTTGTTGGGATGGTATGGATCCTAATAAACACATAACACTAACTACTCAACCATGGATTCTATTTGGAATAAGAGTATTTTTATATTTAAGCACTTGTCACTAGTTGCCCTACTTCTATGTATATGTAGTTGAGGCGGCTATCCCTGCATCTTGTGTAACATTTTCTGATCATGGTGGAACCACAGCTATTGTGGAAATCGCCCCAGTTTTGTGTGAAGCACATAATCTTGTGCCATGCATGTGATTTACAATTTTTATTAATCTGTTCTCTGTTTTTTGTGGCTCGCCAATCTGGCTCAGGTGTTAAAGATTTCTACCAAGTTTGTAGCCAAGGCATTTCCAGAATGCCTTGGCTTCTCATTGCTCTATCAATAATCAAACCAGTAATGCTGCAAGAGGGCATAATCTGCAACATGCTAGTCACACATAAGTTTAATATCAATTTAACAAGTTATTATCTGCACCAAGCCCAAGCCATATGAAGATAGCATGGGCTCATTCGCGTGGTAATCATCCTTTTGTGGTGTTCTATTGCTTTTAAAAATAAATGAACAAATAACAGAAGCCACCATAACTATAACAAAATACAAAGGTTAACATGTAATATGGAAATCCAACAATCAGAGTGCATACCTCCACAATTTGACCACCATCCATTACCACTATCCTGTCAGCAGCTTGTATAGTGGAGAGTCTGCAGAAAGAAGGAATCATTTGCAAGAACATACCATCAATATACTCAAAAAGAGAGTATAGGACTCACCTGTGTGCAATTACCATGACAGTTCTCTTGGACTTCAAGTCATTCCTGACGGCACGAAGAACACCCTACGTATTGTGGCAAATAATACACATGCATCAAGTCAGTGCTTCAAAGTTCCCATGTGTTAGTGATTCTGTTAATGTTGGACATAGCTACCTTGACATAGTGTTCACTCTCTGCATCTAGAGCACTAGTGGCTTCATCCAAGATCAAAATGGTTGGATCCCTAAGAATAGCACGAGCAATTGCAATTCGTTGCTTTTGGCCTCCACTAAGCAAATCATCATCAACAATTGTTTTGTAACCATTAGGCAGGGAAGAGATGAAATTGTGAGCATATGCCTGCTTGGCAGCCCATTCCACATCCTCCTGCTTAATATCTCGTGTACATCCGTATCTTATGTTTGAACTAACATCCATCCGGAAAAGTCGGGGTTCCTATTAAAAACACTTATAGTAAGGAAAAAAAATTTCATACAAATTTCACTTTCATGAAGGGGCTGGAAGTTAACAAACAGTACCTGTCCTACATATCCAATTCTTTCCCTCAACCATTTGATGTCCAAGTCTTTAAGAGGAAAGCCATCAATTAAAATCTACAAATTTAAATAAGTACATATGAAAAGTTTGAGTAATTTAAATTTGTGCACTGTATAACCAAGTAAAAGCAAGAAAGGAATAATTGAATGTCTCAATAGATATCAAATCCAAGACATACAAGGTATTTTGATAAATAAATAAATAAAAAGTAATAAAGTAAAAGGTCAAATATGCAATGATGTAGTGCCAACCATCAAAAGAAAAATTATCACAATGGTCATAGAGACATAAAGCTCCAGCTTCATCAATACCATGTTCTGTAGATTCCAGAATATTTCAGCTTAATTTAAGGTTGATCACTGGTTTCTCTCTCCCTCTCTCTTTTTTTTTTTTTTTTTCCTATTTTAATTGTTCCAATCATGCTGCCGTGAACGAGAGTTTTCAGGATTTTCTTCTTTAGGGAAAACCAAAGTCTTTGGGAATTTCTGTCTAAATATAATGAGTTCTTGTTGGAATCATCTAGGTTATGTGAATGACTATAAACCCAGATGCTGAGATAGTTAAACCTGCTTCTGCTTTTTTCTAGTAGGCTTGTTGTGGCAAGACTGGCGCATTCATATCAATATTGTCCACTCAATTGGAAAGCACAAAATATTTCATTTTATTTAATGGCAAGATGTCAGCACAAGGGTAGAGGAGCTTACCTGACCACTTGTTGGTTCATAAAGATGAAGCAGAAGATTTACAAGAGTGCTTTTTCCACTACCACTCAGACCAACCTAAACAACATCAGGTTAAAGTTTATTTATTTGTAGTGGTCATCATGGAAGAAATAACACCAATAAAGAGACCAACAATTTCTTACAATTGCAATAACTTCATTAGGATGTACCGAGAGATTTACATTTTTTAGTACAGGTACCTGTTTAAATGGTCAAAATATCAAATTTTTTCTGTAGTAGTACCAAAAGACTTTAAGTGAAAGTGAACATAACTAACACAAGCCAATTTAGTCATATAGTCTGATTGGGAAAAAAGGCAAGCAACATTCGTAAAAGATGGATTTAACAAGCTATGTCAAAGTGAAAAGCCAAGTGCAATTCTCAGTGTGTTCAACATATATGTAGCATTCAGGATTAAAAAATGTACCGTTGGTCTTGAAGGATAATAAAAAGACACATTCACAAACTCAATTCGCCCCATCAGCCTTTGCAACTTTAATCCTGCAATATGTTGACATCCGATACCCAATTCACTAAACAAACTTAATTGCAAAAACAAGCTTTAGAAGAAAAAGAATGCCTCAGCAAAAAGAGTCAAAAGAAAGTGATATATTTGAAGAGTGAATACCACCAAGTAATAAGAAAACCTACGGTCACACAACAGAAAATAGGATTCTATAACAATATCAATCAAAAAATTTGATGCAATTCTAAAGGTGATTTTGATGGTTGTGCCTTTAGGTACATATTCAATTTAGGGGCCGAATTTTTTGGGGTTTTGAGCCTTAATTAAGCACTCATCTCCTCTTAGTTGCCTCTCACTCCTTTCTCATTTTATTCCTAAATCTCCTCAAAGTATGGAGAACCTATACATCTACCCTATCTGTAGCTATTTACCAGGCTCAAGTATGACAATGAATTGATTTCCTAAATGGGGTGATGCAGCATTGTGTTAACCTTTGGAGCAGAACCTTGTCTACTAATGACAAAAACAAATGCCAAGGTCCAGGCCACTACATGGTGTCCATAACATCATTCTGCAAGAACAGAGGATACAAAATCACAAGTGAACCACAATAATATTCAATAAACCTTCATAGATTTTCTTTAGGCCTCTAACATGCACAGGCACAAAAATAAAACAATTCATGGACTTCTTTTAGTGAATAATCTCACATAGAGTAGAATATATTTAACTATGGTCCAAAACTTTAATTCGATTTGAAGCCAGAAAAAGGAAGTTCAAGCACCATATATATATAATGAGAACAGGATTTGGGACACTCAAAACAACCATAATACATACTATCAAAAAGTTCAGGACGGGCTTCATTATATTAGGAAGTTTAAAAAAGTGCTTGCCTAGAGCTAGAAACTGGTCACTGGGTGAAAGATCCATCAGTCGGAAGACTTTTTCACTTGCCCCAACAGATTGCATCAATGATGATAAACTGTCCCCCACCCACCATGTTGAAAAGATCAGCCATTCGCTGTACAATATAAACTTTGTCAATCGCTCTGCTGTTATTTGACCACGCAGAATGTACATTCCTCCAATCAGCACAGCAATAACCTATAAAATTAAATGTGCAAATAAAAAAGCCAACTTTTAAATCATAATGACAAAGCCAGTCATGATGTTCTGAATGATATACATTGAAGCATTTGATTTAACAGTGGCATGTAAGCTTAACTGACTACAACATGTCCCAATTGCATTAAAGAAAACGTCAAAATGTAAGAATCCTACATAATTCAAAAACTACAGCAATTTCTGAATTGCTTGCAGTAAAAAAGTTTGGGCAAGTAAACCAGACTTTTCTTTGATGAAGCCAGGTAATAAAAAATTATTTATTTATATTTTTGTTACAGGGCAAAAGACTACATATATATACTTTTGTTGTAGCATAAGTTTAAATACAAATTTATTGTAAACAATTAAATGTCAAAGGATTGAACAGAATGTAAACAGAATTTCTCAAACTTGTACATCTGTACAACAATATGCTCAGATCTATAAATCTAGAACTTTTTTACGGTGATAAGAGAGAAGCCTGATTGCTAAGAAAGAAGGTATGTTACCTTAATTATTCACATGTTTATCTTGGATTATAGATTGCACTTCATCTGTACTACTTTACGGGAAAGGCCAGGTTACTTCTCGGTTATGGATGCTGCTTGTTGCGTCTTTTGGGTTGGTTTGGGTGCAACCAAATTCTGTGTGGGCAGTATTGCAAAGTTGGGCAGGGGGTAGGGTAGGGAGGAGGTGCCTGAAGGCATGGTTGCTCGCTTTCCATTTCTTAATGTGGTTGATTTGGTTGGAGCGTAATAGGCACATGTTTCAAGGGGTGTCTCATTCAATTCCTTGGTTACAGCGGCAGCTTCTTATGGTGCTATATAGTTGGGTTACGGGCTTAGTTGATCCAGGTATTTTAGCTTTTGTAGACTCTGTGGAGGATTTGATTTGTTAGTTTTGTTGGGCCTTTGGGGCTGTCGTTTTTGTATTCATTGCATCATGTTGATGCTTTTTCAATAAAGTTTGGTTATTTATAAAAAAAAATAATAATAATAATGCACTTCTTTTATTGCTATAGAGTTTAAACTAGCGTTTCCAAAGTCTAATTATCCTACTTCCCAAAAAAGAAAAAAAGCTAATGATACCCTCTTACAAGTTTAATTGAAAATTCAATGAAAACTGCAGTGACACCATGTGACAATGGCAAATGCACCAGCATTCCCACCCCACCCAATAAATCCAGGATTGGCATCACTTTCACCTACTGAAGGAATCATGACCTTATACAAAAGAAAATAATGGGATATGTGAATAGTACAGGTGCATGGAAGATTGCAAGGAGATTTAAAAAGGTTTGTGAAGAAGCAAAATTATCTCACACTCGCATTGACATTTCTTATGCAATTAGCATTGTGAGTTGATCAGGCATGCTCCAATGACATTGATCTATCTGATAGGGAGGCAATTTGCAAAATTCTTCAGTACTTAAAAATCTGCAGTTAAGAAAGGCTACAGTCCATGGGATGTGGGAACTGCAATGGCAAAATTTCCTTCAAAGAGATGAATTTATACCCAAGGAACTCAAAAGGTTTATTGTGACAACAAGGATCAGAGATATTGCACGTTATCCAATCTAACACGACTGGACAAAACATATCTAAGCAGAGTCAGATAGACAATTCAAAAGAGGGAACTGAAATGGAAACCAAAATTTGTTTACTATGAATATTGGAACCACGTTGCTACTTATTGTTAAAATCCACCTACTCTCCACCTACTTCACCCACTTAAACCTACTCCACTAAACCTAACCCACTACTTCACCCACTCTCCACCTACTTCACCCACTTAAACCTACTCCACTAAGCCTAACCCACTACACCACTACCACCTCACCTACTCCACTAAACCTAACCCACTACACCACTACCACCTCCACTTCACCTACTCCTTACCTACTACACACTCACCCTCTTCTATATATAGGAATCATGAATCATTGTAATAGATATCAATCAAATCAATATCAATCAATAATACAGTATTTTTTAACACTTATCAATGAAGAAAAAAATGAAGAGAGAATGAGGAGCCAAGTTGCAAATATCTTGGTCAGAGGGGTGACAAAGTGTGAGGTTCAATACCATCTTAACAAGCTGGACATGTGAATAATCTAGCACCAGAAAGAGATGGCGACTAACAAGCATTCTTTCAAAGGAATAAATGTAAAACCATTAATTAAACACAGAAATAGGACCCCGAATTATCTTAACAATTCTTTCCAACTTCCCTCTCTTATTTTATCCTTATATAGATATGTAGCTATAGATGGACCCTAAATTGCATATACATGGCTTTTCCTAAGGCAGCAGAAGGTTGGGTAGGAGGCTGCTTCACACTCAATTGTTGAACATAGCTATAGTCGCCCACAACCCAAAATCACCTGAAAAAACCTCAAGCTCGGGAAGCTACATTGGGTGTCAACTTAAATCAAGCTAAGCCATGTTGTCAAGTTGCAGAAAAAGCTTCAATTTAATGATTAGCAACTTCCATAAATAAGGCAGATGTAATCAATTTGATGACAAGAAAGGGCTCACCTGTGTTGAATGATAGAGAATGTTGAAGCTAAGGTTCCAAAATCCATATGCAGCACTTTGCCGCAAGCTTATATCAGCTAACTTCCCCAGCCAATGCTTGTACCTACTCACCAAAGCAGGATATATTTATGTCTGTCACAGAAATTCTAAGTCTAAACCTAGATGCATGAATGTTTGTGTTCCCTTGTACAGATTCTGTAATTAAAAAAAAAAAAAAAAGTACGGGAATATAAATTTTTCAAAAAAAAAAAAAAAGTTTACCACTAGAACTTTTTACCTGCCAAGTTCTTGATTCTCAGTTCCGTACACTCGAACAGTTCTCATCAAAGAGAATGTCTCCTGCGCAACCTACATTATATGAAAAAAAACTTTAATTGTAAGATACTTCGGCAATTAATTTCTCATATCTATTAAACATGAGCCTTCTGAAAGTACTTCATTGGCAGAAGCAGTAAATTCTTGAGTTAACTTTGCTGCTTTCTTTTGGTACCTATACAAGAAACGTAAGAAATAATAAATAATAGCACCGCAACAAAAATTTGAAAGGCAAAGTAACAATCTTGGATTTATTGACAAGTTCAAAAGGAGGGTCCAATCTAGGACTTGTTCAAAATACTCATTTCAAAGGCCATGAAAAAGTAAAAAGTGATTTGACCATCATGATCATTCAGACCACATCCACAGCCAAGTTCAACAGTCAACCAAAGAACAAACGTAAAAATGGACTTTACAGAGTCAGTGAGTGAGCTGGCTTTGCTCTCTCCCCAGGTTTCATGTGTGTGAATTCCTAATATCCAAGGCAGCCCAACATGAGCAAGCCAGGGGTTGTCCTAGTATTGTGTTTCAATAAAAAATAAAAAATAGAATAAAAAAAAAATAAAAAAACTCTCGCCAGTTATCAAATTTAGTTTCTTATTACATAACCTCAAATGCCATAACTCTTTAGTTTTCCGTTGCTTAAACTCCTACGTTTACTTTTATCCCCAATTTTTTTAATTCTTAAGTATCCCATCCATAAACTGAATATTTATGTTTCTTTACAAAACAAAAAAATATGACAGAAACATTCATATACACATGAAGGTAGAACTGTATAAAATCTTACTGGCCATATAACAGCATAATGGCTGACAGAGTAGAGCATATTGCCAATGTATACAATCCAAGTGGCCATGATAAAATCAACAAGTAAATCAATGCACCTGTACCCTGAAAAAGACTAATGAGAATGAGATACTGCACCTGCAGACAAACTCAAGAAGACTTAGTTTTTGATTAGCAAAGGAACCTGCAGAGCATTGCGTAATATCATATTAAGATCATTTCCAATAACACGAGACACTTGCTGACAATCTGCTCCAAGCCTACTAGTCAGATCACCAACTGTTTCGGAGTCAAAGAACAATATATCCTACAAAGGAAGTAACACCATGAATAAAGAAATCCAGACAGAAGATGGTGCTTGTCTCAAAATAAGCACATTGAAACATAATTATAAGATACTATATAATGTGTGTATATATACACTTCAGAACCTGATAAAGAAGAGAGGAATATAAAGTCTCCCTCATTCGCTTGACCTGCAAATTGTAAAGGTATGATGTTCTAATCATCAATCCACTAAAAAAATTCAAAAAAAAAATAAAATTATAATGACCATATTTTGTAAGAAATAGAGGTTTTGCATTCTTGAAAGAAACTCAAGCTTTGTACATTTCGTTAACATCATCCACATGACCCAGCAGCAATGTAGTAATCATAAGTCATAACAATGCACATGTTAGCCACTTCTTAGATGCAAATGACCCAAATAACTTCACCACAATATTGAAAATATCCCCAATGTCAAATGTCCAGCTTTTCTTTAACCCTTTCAACCAATAAATGAACAGAATGACAAGATAAGCAGTCTAAATGATCCCCAGGTCAGTCATCCAAATGGTTACAACACATATATCTGCTGTCCTCGTTCTTACAAAAAAGATTTTGAAAAATTAAACAATTAGCAGTAAACTCACAAGGATCATATTTGCAATGCTGAAAAAGCAACCTCGTAGACCACTGTACATAAAATAAAAAGAACATGGGATCAGTAACTGTGTAACATTGTTCAACCAGATAGTTCAAATTTCCAGTTATGGAGTCCATAAGATTGATATAATGCAGTTACTCTTAACAATGAACAGAAAAGGAAAGAAGGTTGCTTTAAATGAATGCATTTATGTATGTAACCAGGCGTACCATTGCGTATTACATTGACAGGAAGGAAGTTTCTCTATTTTGATCATTAAACTTTAGTTCCATATACTCTAGTGCAGCCTATAAATTTGACCATTGCCAAATTTATTTAGCAGCAAACTGGCAAACGGTCAAAGTTTGCTCATTCACCCAAATTTTATTTTATCTTATTAGTTCTTTACCCATATTATTTAATGCAGGTAAACTGATTAAATAAAACGGTGAGTTAGATAGCATAAACCTAGGATTTTATACATTTATAAATGCTTTTGTTTTTAATAGGTGACCCTTGGTTGTACATTCAACAGCACTTTACCAAATTCCCAATACAAAAAAGAGAAAGCAACAAAAACATTCATTTCAAAGAAGTACAATAGTAGGAGAACTCTTTTGTATTCTAGTTTTATAATCTCTCCCCTCATAAACTATTTTCCCAAGTGAATAAATATAGCCCCGTTTGGGGGCTTACCTTTTTAGCCAAAAAGCCAAAAAGTTACATTTTTAGCCAAAAAGCCAACAACTCATACCAAAAAGTCAAAGATTCTCTTTTCTCTCTACTTTTTGCACATCTTTTCATAATTAGCCAAAAAGTCATCCCAAACATATAAGTTTTTTTTACCTACTTTTTTAGCCAAATAGCCAAAAAATTACTAAATTAGCCTGTTCCCAAACGAGACCTAAATATATATAGAAATAAGTTACTTTACAGCATGTCAAAAGCAAATAACATCTGGAATTCTATTTTCTATAGCTTGCGAAAATTAATTTTCTTAGCTAAATTTTAAATCAAAGATCAATCATTTACTGATTGGCAGTGTAAGCTATAGCAAACATAGGCAAGTACAAAATCCTAGGCTCCTAAGTAGCTACTTTAAGTAAATGTCATATAGTATAAGTTAACACATGTCATACTGCGAGAATATTGCGTATATATGTATATATGGTAGTGTATTGTGCATATATTCTGCGAGATAGTGAGAGGTTGGGTGAAAATTTTCGTTTTCTTTTTAGTCTTAGGGTTAGGAGTACTATATAATCAGATGTATCCTTTGTATTTTGACATAATTGAATATATAGTTCTTATTCAGAAGTCTTACATGGTATTAGAGCTTTCTCGAAAATCTTAGCAGCCATCCCAAAATCCTCTATGGTCTAAATTTTGGTTTCGAATCTATTCTCTGGACTCAATCGAGTTATCTGGTCATCATCAAGTCCATCCTCTGCTTCATTAGGGTTGTGAGACCTATTTGAGTTCGAGTTGTGATATTTCAATTGCGAAACATCAGATTCAAAAAGACCCAGTTCATCTCTCTCTCTAGTCTTCTGGTTGTTGACCCATCTGGTTCATTACGCTCCGTCTAAGTTCGAATCGTGATCAATCTAACTTGGGAAGACCGAGGATTTCTTCCTCTCAATTCGTACAAGGGCTTCGTTTGGCCCGTCTAGTCGTGTTAGGGGCTTTTCTCTCTTTCGGTTTGGTTCACAAGGTCTTCTTCTCTCTCGCTGGAGTAGATTTCGCGCAGCCATTCGCGGGCTCAGCTTCGTATCGTGAAGTTTTCTCGCTCCATGGTTGAGCTTTGCTTGGCGAATCTCCTTTGCTAGTTCTGATACGCTGGTTCTCTTTCTCTGAACTGTGTTTGGATTATCTGTGTATTTGGCCTCTCAACTTATTATATTATTGACCCATCTAGTATTATTTTTGGATATTACAATTTAACCCATCAGTTTTCTAGCTTTGGATCATTACGATGTTGGATATCCATCAGCTTCAACCTATTGACATCAGATAAGTGTGCCTTCTGCCATCAAAGGGGCCATTGGAAGTATCATTGTCACAAAAAGAGATGTCTGTCTGCTTTGCCTGTGTCTGCCTCGTCTTCTCAGCAATTTCTGATCCAATTCTATGCCTCTACCCTGAGTACCGTTCAGCTTCTCACCAATTCTATTGCATCTACTCCAGCTCCTGATCCTAACTTGGCTTCATTAAGTGCTCAGATTAGTCAGTTTCAGCATATACTGTCTACCTCCCTACCATCCTCGTCTGTTTCTATTGTTTCCTCTCTTCATTCAAGTTTGCTTGGGTCTTCTTCAGGTATCTCTTCGTCTATCTGCATTTTTGACTCTGGTGCCTCTCATCATATGACTCCCCATCTCTTCTTACTTCAAAATTGTACTCTCCCTCCTTTTCCTATTACTGTTAATGTACTAATGAGTCTGGTATGTCTATTATATCTGTTGGGTTTGTGTTATCGTTTGTTATGTCTTTTGTCTCTATTCCATCTGTCTTTTACGTTCCTCAATTATCTGTCAGTTTATTATCTATCAGTCAGCTTGATGCTTTCGGTTTTGATATTATCTTTTCTTCTTCTATATGTTTTGTGCAGGATTGGATGTCCAAGCAACATGTTGAAATTGATATATTATTGATTGATGTATATTCATGTATTTATTACAAATGGTGAGTGGCTCGTTATATAGGAAAGGGTGAGTGTAGTAGGTGAGGAGTAGGTGAGGAGTAGGTGGTGGTAGGTGATGGTAAATTGGTGGTAGGTGATGGTAAATTTTAACAGCCCCCCGCAAACTCAAGGATTATATGTTGGTTATTAAAGTATCAAGTCAAAAATTAGAGTTAAAAAAATTTAATATAAACAAAAAGAAAGTGTATGAAGATAACCTGTGAATTTTTTAGAACGTATGTGTTTTCTTCTGTTTAAATTTGAACTGCATACAATTAAAATTCAACCAAAATTATTCACAGCAATTTAATCTATGATGGACAATTGTAAATATTATGTATATTAATATAGAAGCAGACATAAAAAATAAGAAAGAGTAATTATTTTTTATTCTTCAATCATCATCAATGCAAAAAATAAAGAAATGTTTTTTTTTATTATTATTATTTTTTATTTTATAAGAAGAGTGTTTATATTTATATAGGACTTTTAAAAGTAGATATATCATTTTTTACTATTCAACTCCAAAAATAAAAAATAAAAAAATCGTTGGTTTATATAGGATTCTTGATGACTTTTAAAAAAAAATAGTAATTTGAGAAGATAAAATTAAAATTAAAAAAATATAGAAAATATGGCAAGTTCTTTACAATTTTAAAAAAGTAGTAGACAGATAGTGAATCACATTTTCGTAGTTTAGCAATCACTTAAAAAAGTAATTGTTTGGTTAAAAAAAAAGAAAGTAAATTATTGAAAAATTCAAGTTAAAAAAAATATAAGGTATTAAATTCAGTAAATATTTTTTATTGATAAAAAGTCCACATTTATAAAATATTTTGGTGAAAAATTATTTTGTTTGTTTTGAAAGACATTTTAATTTTAATTTTACCTCTTAATTTATCTGTTATTTTTTTTTTGTTGACTTTCGTTAACCATTTATTCAAAAAAATCGCTAGCTGTTCAAAATTTTCCTTATCTATTCAAATTTTTTTTTCTATCTGTTCAATTTTTTTCTATCTATTTAATTTTTTATCTAACTGCTTAATTTTTTAATCTTTTCAATTCAAATTTTCCTTATCTATTTAAATATTTATCCAAAAAAAATTCTATTTGTCCAAATTATTACCTTTATCAAATTTTTTTGACTATCTATTTAATTTTTCCCCCCATATCTATGCAAATTTGATTCCGTTTTTATCCATTAAAAGAGAACCTGCTCAAATAACCTTTTCAAAAAATCTATCTATTGAAATTATTTGTTAAAAAAATGTATCTGTACAAATTCTTTAAGAGGATTTTTTTTCTTGGCTCAGTTATTATCCGTTCGAATTTTTTTTTTCTTGAAACAGATTTATTTGAACACAACTATTCAAAACAAATCTGTACTATTTGCCATTTTTTTTTTTTTAAAATTGTTACAATCTGTTTCTTCGTCGTCATCATCAACCACAACACAACACGACCAAAAAAATAAAAAAAGATCTAGACAAGAAAAAAAAACTTCCTATCTATTTATCATCATCATCATTATCAACAATAACATCAAAAAAAGAAAAAAGAAAAACAAACAAACAAATTAGGCGATGAAATATATGTAGCCAAGAATCAATAGGCCATCGATGACGATTTTTCTCAGATCATTTCCCTTTGCAAGCCATTGAATCAAACTCTACAAATCAAATAAACTATTCGGATTGCACTGAAATATATACATATGTTTTTGTTATTATCATCAGAGAGTCGGAAATAATGAAGCAAACAAGCAATTACCTTGAATATGCAACCAATTGCGTCCATATTGCGCACAAATATTTTAGATCTGGATCTAGATAAAGATCTGAATCAGCGGAAGAATCAAGAGAGAGAGACATCAGCTTCGACGGCAGTGCGAACATGCGGAAGCTGGACGAGGAGGCATTGCCTCTCCTCCGACTCCGGCGGCTTCCTCATCTCCTTCATCTTCTCTCTCTTTGCGCCTATGATAACCACCACAGACTACCAGTCCATGAGCCATGGCCACGAAAAACAGGCCCACTAGAGAATCTCCACCTAGCTTATCGGCAGCCATGGCAGAACCAACGCTGGCAAACACAAATAGGAAAGTGCAAATGAACTCAACAATGAGGGCATGGATGCAGTCAATCTGTGTGGCCTCTCGGCCGGTTCCTAACGCGATCTTCATAGCTGATCGGAAAACCGATCACCGGAGGTTTTCTACTCTCAAAAAAAATGGGAAAAGGCCAGAAGATTGGCTTTGGTTTGAAACTACGCTGGCTCACGGCGAAGCACCACTGATGGGAAAGTATGTATAGAAAATAAGCGGAATAGGTTGAGGTCCGGCGGACGGCTAAGGTGAGGTTGCCGTCCGCCGGTGAAGCGAAAAATATTAGGTTCTAAACCAGCTCTGATACCATGTTGAAATTGATATATTATTGATTGATGTATATTCATGTATTTATTACAAATGGTGAGTGGCTCATTATATAGGAGAGGGTGAGTGTAGTAGGTGAGGAGTAGGTGATGGTAAATTTTAACACAACAGATTGGAACTAACCGTAGAGTTGGAGACCTCTATGTGGTGGAGAGCTTGTATCTGCCTATGACAACCTCTCCGACTGCTATTTCCTCTTTTTAGTTAGATTCTCTATCCAGTCCTTTCTATTTGTGGCATTCTAGATTAGGGCATTTGTAACCTAACCGTTTATGGTCTTTACCTCAATCAAGTATCTTGGGTAAAGTTTCTCCTAGTGAACTTACTGAGTGTCGGGGGTGTAAACTTGCCAAAATAACAGCCTTACCTTTTCGTAAAAGTATTTTTATATCTGATACATCGTTTTCTTTAGTTCATACTGATGTTTGGGGCCTTTCTTCTGTTCCTATCAAATGAGGTTTTGCATACTATGTATCATTTGTTGATGATTGCACCCGTTACACTTAGGTTTATCTCTTGACTCATAAGTTCGATTTTTATCAAATATACCATACCTTTTAGTCTATGATTACTACTCAGTTTGGGTCTACAATTAAAGTGTTACGATCTAACTTGGGTGGAGAATATTTTAAAAATGAGTTTTGTGAGTATTTTGCCAATTTGGGTACCATTCACCAAACTTCTTGTACAGATACACTTGTCCAAAATGGTCGAGCCGAGCGTAAACACTGTCATCTCCTTGAGACAGTTAGGTCTCTTCTTCTCTCTGCCTCAGTTCCGGCTCCATTTTGGAGGGAGACAGTTCTTATTGCTGCTTTTTTTCTCAATCGCATGCCTACTCTCCTTCTTTCTGGTCGGTCTCCTTATGAAGCTTTGTTCTCCCAAATTCCTAATTACTCCTTACTTCGTGTGTTCCTTTGCCTGCTAGTAAGAATTTGGTTGATTACAAATGGGTCTACAAAGTCAAAACTCATTCTGATGGTTCTCTTGAGCGCTACAAAACTCGACTGGATGCCAAAGGCTATGAAGCACGGACACGGACACGGCAATTTTCAAAAAATAAGGACACAGACACGGTAGGGGACATGGCGAATTTTATTTTATTTTTTGTTATATATTTTTATGTGTTATGTAGATTCATATTACATTCATCCTAAATCAAAATTAACAAAAACTAACATAGTAACATTAATTCAACAAATATAACCATTACATTTAAACAAATTAATAGATCATACATTTACAAAAAAGACATAATAAACGATAATAAGAACTAAGGCGAGAAGAGGAAAGCATTCAACATCCAACAATATTCTTCACAAAAGCACTAAATAAAAGAGGCAAAAGAAAAGGAAAAAAAAAAGTAAGCCCTATCGTGTCCCATGCCGCGTCCCCATATGGACACGCGTGTCCCTGCCATGTCCCCTACAAAAAAATCATTAAATTAAAGGGACACGCCATCTGGCATGTCCCGTACGTGTCCCCAACGTGTTCGCGTGTTGGATAACGCCACGACACCGATTTTGGAGTGTCCATGCTTCATAGGCCACAAGAGTATGGTATTGATTATGAGGAGACCTTTACTCCTGTTGCTAAAATGACTACTCTCCGTACTTTAATTTCTGTCGCTGTTGCTCGTTCTTGGCCTCTTTATCAGATGGATGTTAAGAATGTTTTTCTTAATAGCCATCTCACTGAAGAGGTCTACATGCGTCCTCCCCCTGGCCTTTATTATTCCTCTGGATAGGCTTGTCGCCTTCGGCATAATTTGTATGGTCTGAAGCAGTCTCCTCGTGCTTGGTATGATCGCTTTCAAACTGCGATTACTGAGCATGGGTTTCATCCTTATGTCCAGGACTCTGCTTTATTTCTTCTCCACACCTCTGTTGGATTTATTGCCTTATTACTGTATGTGGATGATATAATCATCACTGGTTCTGACTCTTCTGCTATCTCTGAGGTCAGGAAGCATCTTTTCCGCACCTTTGAAATGAAAGATCTGAGCCCATTACGGTATTTTTTTGGTAATGAGACAGCTTCTTCTCCCAAGGACTACTTTTTATCTCAAGCCAATAATGCCAATAAGGTTATTCATCGTGCCGGTCTTACTGACACTAAGATTTCTGATACCCCTATTGAGCTTAATGTAAAGCTCAACACTACTGATGGTGTTCTTTTGGATGATTATGCTTTATATCGAAAGCTCGTGAATTGCTTAGTCTATCTGACGGTGTAGAAATTTAATGTATAAAGAGAAATAAAGAATTGTATTATTGATTCATGTATTGATGTATTATTGATTGATTGATTTATTGAATGTTACAATGATTCCTATATATAGAAGAGTAGGTGGTAGTAGGTGGTAGGTGGAGTAGGTGAAGTGGAGGTGGTAGTGGTGTAGTGGGTTAGGTTTAGTGGAGTAGGTGAGGTGGTAGTGGTGTAGTGGGTGGATTTTAACAGACGGTTACTCATCCTGATCTTGCCTATGCTGTTCATATAGTTAGCCAGTTTGTCTCTACTCCTCGCTCCACACATTGGGTTGCATTGGTTCGGATTCTTCGCTATCTTCGAGGTATTATATTTTAGGGTTTACTATTATCCTCTACTTTCTCTTTGGATTTGGTGGCCCATGCTGATTAGGCTGGTGACGTTACTGATCGCAAGCCCACGTCTGGTTTCTGTCTGATTCTTGGCGATTTCTTGATCTCTTGGAAATGCAAGAAACAAACTATTGTTACTCGCTCTACTGCCGAAACTGAATATCATGCTATGGCTCATGCTACTGCTTCATTGTTTGGCTTCGTTGTCTTCTCTCTGACTTGGGTGTCCTTCAGTATTCTCCGACCCCCCTCTATTGTGACAACCGCAGTGCTATTCAGATTTCACATAACACTATTTTCCATGAGTAGACCAAGCACATTGAGATTGATTGTCACTTTGTTCGTGAGCATCTGCAGTTTGGCTCTATCTCACTTCCTTTCATCTCTTTGGCTCTGCAACTTGCTGACTTTTTTACCAAGACTCACACCACTGCACGGTTTCAATTTATTCTTGGCAAACTCTCAGTATTTTCTGCTAAAACACCTTGAGTTTGAGCGAGAGTGTGAGAATAGTGTATATATGTATATATGGTAGTGTATTGTGTATATATTCTGAGAGATTGTGAGAGATTGAGTGAATATTTTTGTTTCTTTTTTAGTCTTAGGGTTAAGAGTACTATATAATCAGATGTATCATTTGTATTTTGACATAATTGAATATAAAATTCTTATTCAGAAATCTTGCACATACATGCCACCACTTGAAAACAATTCAAGCATGCATAGGCTCACTTGCCAAGACATAAATCTAAGGACATTGGGTTTTCTTTTCAGTGTCTAAGCCGCAATATAGGAAGGATATAAAAATTTATCAAAAAATATATATATCTATAGGAAGGATATAAAAGCCCAATATGAGATCGTGAATGGCTATTTATGAAGTTCATTTTTTTGGTTGCTTTTAAAGAATTCTTCATAAAATAATGCTATATGCACCAATTAGTGTACTAACTAGTGTACTAACAGATGATGTGACATAATTTTAAAGGTTTTGGGTATTTGTAATTTATATAATAGGTGGGGTCAGTAATAATGTCATAACACTAGTTGGTACACTAATTGGTGCATGTAGCACCACCATTCTTCATATTATAATACAAATTACTACAAATTGATGTCTAATGTTGAATCATTCCTTAAATATTGATATTAACAAAGCACTGGTGTAGAAAAAAAAGTCATTCACTGTGATGCATTATTGAGGAAGGATCCTTGACCATACAAGATTTTAACCTGCAAATTCCTGAAATGAGACATAGTAGAACCAAAAGACGCACATTCCAGTGGAACACCATGATTTCACCACTTTGCGCTGAAAAGATTGATGCTGTCAAGAAATGTGGTATGGAGATTTCTGAAAACTGTAACAGACAAATGGAATTCAGGTGCATTAGTAAATAAACTGGAACTTGGAACTTGGTAGCTTATTTCACAAAAGAACCTTGCATGCACATTTCCGCAGTGTAATGAAAATATCAAGCATGATTAAAAGATTGTGATTGCTGATTAGGTAGTTATATAACTTTTTCTAGCTCAACATTCACGTACAAACAATTGGAGTTCATATTGACCTCCAACTCCACACTCTTTTGACATTTATGTGGCTTTACTGCTTGAGCTTCTCCTTCCATTTCTATTACTATTGTCCTCCTTCGTAAATCAGAAAAAGAAAATAAGAAAGTTATATACAATGCTGATGGTGTTTATTTTTATTTTTGGTACAATAGGGTGGCTAAACCACAAGTCAAGACAGGACGGCAAAATCATTGACCAAACATATCCTGAAGTAACACCTGTGCAAGGCCAGGGTGAACAGAAAGGAAGGCAAGACCAGAACCTTGGTTCACAGCAGCTCTAACTAGATGGTTAGCACATGCATTAGCATCACACCATCCAAAACCAACTCACATAACCACCGCTGATCCATCAATTGCCAAATGAGAGCAATAACAATATAGCTCGGGTTCCATTAAGTTAATTGGTAAACTCTTTTGAGGTCGGGGTTTTGAACTTTCCAAGGAGCCATTGAAAACAGCGTTCACCTAAAATTGTCTAAGGCCATCCGCAGCCCTTACTCAAAATTTTACTCAAATTTGAGTTAAGGCTAAACCCCAAGGAATTGGCCAAGCAGTAAAGATAAAATTCAAGATCTTGAGATTGAGTCACCCAACGGGCCAGTGGAGGATTGCCTGGTTGCTAACTTTAGGGCCGTGGATTATTTGATGTGCGTTGCAAGCTGGTCCGAAAAAAGCTTTATTTGATATGAACCACTCCAATGGAAAAACTCATTTAAGCATAAATTTGAGTAAAAAGTTTATTTGATATAAACCATTCGACTCAGACTTAAGCATGAACTTGAGTAAAAACTTCACTAATGGCATAATGGTAAATTTGAGAGCCACAAAACAATTGAAAATTTTGAGTAAACATTTGACTTTCCCTTGATTTGGTAAAGGAGTGGAAAGTGTTTAGAGAGACTTTTACCCAAATTTAAAATTGATAGCAGAGTCTTTTAAGGATTAGAGATGCCCTAACTCATTGTCCAAACAAAAAGGAAAGGGCTTGTGGGTAATTGAAGACCAATAACAATATGGAAATAAGTATAGAAAAAACTAAAACAGTTTTATATGACATGTAGCAAAGAAAAAAGGCTCACAGCTGTAAGAATTAGGGCAGAAAAAGCAGCGAAGATGACCCATCGATCTGTAGCAATCAATTCCCACATCCGCCGGAGCGCCAGCCACACAGTCACCGGCTTGGCCGCCATTACAACTTCGACGTCCTTCGAAAAGCTCCACCAACTTCCTCCAGGCAAAATCGATCGAACAAAACCAATCCACCTTCGCAAACTCTCTGAGAACTCGACATTGCTTCGCCCAGAGTCTTCCGGAGAATCTTCCGAGATGGTCTGCGTCGGAAATCCATTGATCGAAGCCGATTTTGGGGCAGAAATGTGAATGAAACGCGTATTAGGGTGTGAGAATGAGACATGGAATTGGAATTTGGATTTGGCGGAGAAACAGAGGAGGGTTTTGGTTTTGGTTTTGGTTTTGCGATGTGTGTTGTTGAGAGGGGTGGGTTTGTGGTGGTGGTAGTGGTGGTGGTGGTGAAGAGAAGAAATGAGGCGAGTTTGAAGATCGCAGAGAGGAAGAGCCATTGCTGATGGAGTGAGCAAACACTCACAGGTTCTGGATAAAGCTGAGGTTTTCTGGTTATAACTGTCCTTGCGTTTGTTTCGCAGAGAGAGAGAGAGACGTGTCAGAGAGTGCAGGTGACATAAATGGGACCCACTAGGGTCTGCGGAGCCGAATATCCGTAGATTGTGTTTTAAGTCAAACCACTTCGACGGTCCAAAAGCGAGGGTCCGTTTAGAGACGGGAACGCAAAGTAATTCATTCGGCGTCGTTCTAGTTGTTTTGCAAGCAAAACGACACGGTTTGCAGTGTCGTGTACTCGAGGCCTTTGCGTTGCCGTGAGAAAACTCCACGAGGTTTGGACATACGTTAAAAATTAATTTTTTTAAAAATATATATATATATATTTAAAAAAATGATAGGATGTAAATAAATTAATTTTTTATTTTTCCAAAAAAGATCAATGTCGTGTGAACAAACCCTATATGCTTTTGAAATTTTGTTTATAATAAGTGGGGTCCCGTGGAATGTTAGGGTGGTGAATGGAGGGTCAACGCGTCCAAGCTACCCACGGGTTTCCCATGGAAAAAAAGATTGTTTTGTTTTCACACGGAGACCGCGTTTTGTTTTCACACGGAGACCGCGTTTTGTTTTCACACGGAGACCGCGTTTTGTTTTCACACGGAGACCGCGTTTTGTTTTCACACGGAGACCGCGTTTTGTTTTCACACGGAGACCGCGTTTTGTTTTCACACGGAGACCGCGTTTTGTTTTCACACGGAGACCGCGTTTTGTATTTTTTTTATTTAGGTCATATCAATTTTTTATTATATTGTATATCTTTTTATTAACAAATTAAAAAAATATACTTATTTAAATTATTCTAAATAATCCATTATTTTATTAAACTTTTGAATCAATTGTGTTTTAAGGTTTGTTTGGCATGAGTTATTATAATTAAATTAATCAATAAAGATAAAGCACATTAATTTAATAAATAAGATAAAATATTATATTCAAATCATAATTATTTCATTTTTTTTTTCACAACCATCTACTCAATTACCAAAAAAAAATCAAAATTTATACCAAACACAATTTTTTTAACTAGACTAAAATAGCTAAAATCTAACCAATCAAGCTAAATTAGTTTATTCCAAACAATGCTTAGTTATTTGGTATTTTTATATTCTTTTCGTCTTAAAATATTAGTCATTTATTTCATTTTAATTGTGTCAAAATATTAGTTAATTTTTAAAAATAATATGAATTTTCTATTTTACCTTTTTTAAAATTCATTTACAGCACAAAAAAATACAACTATGACAATTGATATTTCTAAAGAAAAATATACTATCAATCAAAGGATAATTTTGAAAAATTATTTTTTAAAAGCATAATAATTGCACTACCAAAAAAAAGTTAAGTTTTTCAAAAGGAACTATTATTTTGAGACAGATCGTTTAGGATGTGGGTTGGCTTTTTTGTTATTTTAGCCTAAGGCTAAAAAACCTCATTTCAGATTGATTTTTTACCTTTTTTGCTTTTTTAACTTTTGTGAGAAAAATTAAAATGATTATGATTTGAATATGACGTTTTATCTTATTGATTTTTTAACTTATTTTGTCTTTTTGTGACTATTTTAGCCCCATAGCCTTATATAAAACGAGTGCTATAATTTTAAGTTTATCGAATTAAGCCAAATAAACAATTGACTGTTCAAACCTTAAAAACTTTAACAAGTTTAAAAATATATTTAAGATTGGTTTGTTTATTTAATTGACTAAGTTCAAAAAGAGTTTGCCGTGGTCCTAAGTGAGAATATGGTTTGACTAAAATAGCCTATTAAAAGATAAAATATATTAAAATAGTTAATAAGATAAAATGTCATATCAAATTCATAATCATTTCATCTTTTCGTTCACAATCATCAAATCAACTAAAAAAAGTCAATCAACTTTCTAAACACAATTTTTTTAGTTAAGTTAAAATAGTCACAAAAATAAATAAATAAATAAATAAATAAAGGTTAATGTACAGCCAAGTCCTATTTTATTTAGGTCCTACTTACAAAACTTTAAACCCATAAGTCTTACTTTAATTTTATATGATCAATCTACCCTTACAAATTAAAAAAAACACAAAAACATTTGGTTCCTCTCTCTCTCTCTCTTTCTCATGCCCTTTCCAGCCATCGCCACTAAACTGCCGTCGGTGACCCCAACGCTAAACCCCACCGACAATCTCCTTCCTCCAACGGCGACCTCTCTCAGTCACCCTTCTCTGCTCTCTCTTCCCTCTCTCACACTTCACCATTTGCTACATCGCGACTATGTCGTCACCCATCGCTTCTCACCGTCGCAGTCGCCTCCGCTCATTGTCGTTATCGCTGCCTATCATTATTGCCATCGTCATCGCCATCACCACTTCTCATCATCTCCATCATTACGTCTCACCATTGTAACCCAGTCATGCTCATCTTGAACCAAATCTAGCTAAATTTGGAGATTTCCAGATCTGCAAAGTGTAGAAAGAGGAGGAGAATGAGAAGGTAAAGGTAAGAGAGAGAGAGAGAGAGAGTAAATTGATAATATTCTCAGTTTTACTCATGAAAAAAATAGAGAAATTTCTCAAAATTGATAATATTTTTAATTAATTTAGAAAAAAAATTAAGAAATTTCATACTTTTGATAATTATAAACTGAAATCATTCTCTATTTTAAAATTAAGTGCATTCTCAGTTTTGGCGTTGACTTAGTTTTCAACGATGGACAACAAATTAATAGACGACGGCCGAAAACAATAGCAGGAATCTATACGACTTCAATGGGGCGGCGCTATCACGGCTGTTGGAGGAGGCATAGCATGGCTTTCTTCTGGATTGCAAAAATTAGAAGAAGAGGTTGCAGACGTCATGACAACAAGGAGTAAAATTGTCTTATAAATAGAATTCAGGACTTTTTAGATTAAAAAATGAGTGTTGATATTACCACCCCATCAATTATTTTAGACCCCCAATTTTTGAACCTTTTTTATTACAATAATAACCTCAAATGAAATTACCAACATGGACATCAAAAAATTTTGGACACCCCATCTCACAATTATGCCCACACGCCTAGTACATTGTGAGTTAGGATTTATGAGATCACCCACTTCCATCACCACTTATTCATCTTCCTTAAATCTCATCTTCAAAATCTACCCATCCTCAAAATCTTAAAAATCCTTTGGTAACAATATTCCGATGGCAACAGTGGCAACCATTTGATTACATAAACTTCTCCGACAATGACAATGAGTGAAAATTTTTTCTAACAGCAACTACTCCATAAGACGATAGTAGTACAACAATAAAAGCTCGTAAGATGTTCATAACTTTGATGGCATTCTTAGCTCATTGAAGATTAACTTTATAAAGGTAAGTTTCTTAAAAAAAATGGCAAAAATAACAAAAAATGTTCGTCATTTTTCAAGACTCCTGAATATATGACCGAAATTTGGCAACCCAAGTATGAGCATTATTTATTTGTTTAGGAACAGGTAATCGAACATTTATTATTTGTTTATAAACAGATAATTGAATCAGTAGTAGAAACAAGCAAACAAATAAGGTTGGACCACCCTTGGGTGGTTGACCAGGGAGTGAAATCCTACCAAATTTTGCTCACATAGCCATTGTTTGGGAAGTGGGTTTGGGGTTAAAATAACTACAAAAAATAGAATAGGCTTTTTAGCCCCAATAAGACAAAACATCACATCAAACCCATAATCATTACATTATTTATCTCACAAAAAAATTTAAAAAGCCAAAAGCCCTTCCAAAACTAGGTTTTTTAGCCCTAGGCTAAAATAGTCAAAAAAGTCAAAAAGTCAAAAAATCAACCTACTTCCCAAACCAAGCCATAGAGAGCATACACGTATAGTAAGGCCATGGATAAATTACATAAAACAAATCAAAGAAGCATGAAAGTGGATTGTGTTGTGTGTGTGAAAATAGATAATAAAAAAAATCAAGCAAATTAACAAGCCTCGTAATTAAGTAGAGAAAAAACTTCTTAGGTCCCATTTGGGGACTTACCTTTTTAGCAAAAAAGTCAAAAAGTTATTTTTTTAGCCAAAAAACTAACAATTTATACCAAAAAGTTAAAAATTCTCTTTTCTCTATACTTTTTGCACATCTTTTCGTAATTAACCAAAAAATCATCCCAAACATATAAGTTTTTCTTACCTACTTTTTTAGCCAAATAGCAAAAAAATTACTAAATTAGCATATTCCCAAACGAAGCCTTAGTCATCATAAATTTTTTTCACTAATTTTGGGATGTTCCACCATCCTGGGTTTTGATAGGGTTTTGGAAAATAGGCTTTTTGGGGTGTCGGGAGTGTACATTTGAATTGGTAAAATATTTTTACGAGGATAATTTTGATATTATCTAGAGGAAGAAAATAAATTTGACGGATTTTAAAATTTACAAGTAGAGATCCAAAGAAGTGGAAGGTCCAAAATAGTTAGGCCTCTTTTGAGAAGTGAGTTAAAAGATACTTCTTAATTTTTAACCTATTTTGAATTGCATCATCCCTCATATTTTTATACATTCTTTGAAACAAAAAAAAAAAGACAAAAAAATTAATTTTTAATTATTTTTCCAAAACATTCCTTAATAAAGTGTTAATAATAACACCTTTAGGTTTCATTTGGGAAGAAGGGTTGGATTGAGTTGAGTTTGAGACTATTTTAATCATAAAATGACAAAACAAACTTTTTAATCCAATAAGACAAAATATCTCATCTAACTCATAATCATAACATTCTTTCTCATATAAAAAGTTAAAAAATTATTTCCAAACAAATTTTTTTAATCATAATTTAAAATAATCAAAAAAATTAAAAAGCCAACCCACTTACCAAACCGAACAAGAATTGAAATACTTGTCTTGTACACAGAACTTTTTGGTAATTACCCCAACTTAGATACCAATTGGGTAGGTTTGAATTGTTGGGTTCGTTCATCACTTCTGTCACAATCTTCACAGACAATTTTACCCTTCATCATTCCTATTTATTCCAACTAGCTCAATATATAAAATTACAGAATTGATGTACTTTCTAGTCTTTCAACATCCAAAAAAAAAAAAAAAATGAAAAAAACATCCCAAGTAAGCAAAATATCTCCACCTCAACTCTTTCGGTGTCTCACTTCTCTGTCCTCTTTCTCTATCCTCTAGACCTACGCGCAGCCGTCGACATGGCCGTAGTGCTCGGAAACCTAGCACTACTTCTAGACATTACCTCGCCGCGGACTGCAGTTCTCGATCGCAAGACTCGTCCGGTGCCCGTGCCGGTGCCGGTGCCGGTGCCGGCTGATGTCTTATTGAGCCTGTTCAAGAAAGAACCTCACCACCACATCTCCGCCGCCATCGCCGCCGCAAACAGCTTCGAATTTGATAAAGAGAATCGTAATCAGAGATCTGGCGTGCGAGGGAAGGCGAATTCGAAGGATAATGCGGTGGATTTCGCTGGTTTGAGCGACGATGATAGTAATGGAAACGGAAATGGAAACGGAAATGGATATGAGGATGAGGAAGAAGAGGCGTTTGATTGGGAGAAGGAAATGAGGAAGAGAGTGAAGGAGATTGAGGAGATGAGAGAGTTGGAGAGGGAGGCGGAGGAGTTGCAGAGTCGAATGGAAGATGGTGAAGGTGAAGGAGAGGGCAAGGAAGAGACTGAGGAAGAGAAGAGGATGAGAGTAAGAAAGGAGCTCGAAAAGGTTCGGTTTTGATTTTTTTTAAATTTTTTTTTTTTGGTCTCTACACTCAAATTAGTGAAAAGAAAAGAATATGTGAAAATATGTGTTTGATTGCTCAGAAAATGGAGTATAAGAGAAGATTAACAATCTGAAGCTTAGATTGTTCAGTTAAACGATTCTTTAGAGTTGTAATTATCGAGAGAGGCATTTTCACTTGTTTTTTTTTTTTTTTGGTTTTGGAATTAATTCTTATATTGTATTACAATGAATCCAATGAATAATGATCATAGGTTGCTCAGAAAATGGAGTAGAAGAGAAGATTAACAGCCTGAAGCTGAGATTTTTCGGTTAAACGATTGTGTAGAAGTTCTAACTCAATCATAACTATGAAGATCAAATACAATAAATATTTGTACAATCATATTTCACTTACTTAAACAAGTTTGTTTCATTTCTACGTTTTTCTCAGCAACCAAACAGAGGAATAAGCAACCAACTGTTTATTTTCTTTTCCTTATTTATCTAAGGATTATGGAGGCTAGTTCTGGCATAAATAAGATTGCCATCAACATATTATGGTTTTTTGTCAGTAGTTGTGAACCCAAAGGTTTTGTTATTTTGACATGGGAAAATAGGTAGCCAAGGAGCAAGCAGAGCGGAGAAAGATGGCTCAGTTGATGTTTGAATTAGGTCAGAGGGCTTATGGGAAGGGTATGTATGGACGTGCCATTGAGTTTCTGGAAGGTGCTCTTACAATCATTCCCAGGCCAACTCTGTTTGGTGGTGAGGTGGGTTTGATATCTAAACGGAGGAATGTCTATGGTGAATTTGGTTGTCTTACTGGATATGTTTGATTGAGGACTAATGTGAAACAATGGTTTTTATTTTCAGATTCAAATATGGCTTGCTATGGCTTATGAGGCTCATAACCGCCACGCAGATTGCATTGCTTTGTATAAGCAATTAGAACAGAAGCATCCCAGTGTCAGCATCCGGCGCCAAGCTGCAGAACTTCGCTACATCCTACAAGCACCAAAGCTCAAGATATCGCAGGAGGAGATGGTAACCATACCATTGATAGGTTCTAGCTATGATAGGTGAGTTGGGATTTTACTTGATTGTGCATTTCATTCATTACTGAAAATGCTATTTGTGGCTTTGGTTACTTTGTAAGATATCTCACATTTTCTACAGTAGTTAGAAATATGCGAATCATATGGGTGGGAGGCTGGGGTCTCAAAAATAGTAACAATGCAATTGTTTGGTTTAGGTATCAAACAATGATAATGATAGCATTGATTAGCTTGGGAACAGTAGGAGCCCTAACTACTCTACAAACAATTTTAGGACTGAAGTAATTTTTCCAGCCACACTGGGCATGTAGGAACATCAGTTTTGGGCCTTTATCAATTTCCAATGTTCCCAAACTGAGCTAGTTTGGCATACAGATCCGAAGTGCTTGGCTTCGACCGGATTCAAACGCAATCTAGAAGTCACTCTATTAATGAATCCCAGAACACTTGCGGGCTCAGAGCTTTCCGGGATCTACGCATCAGAACAACGGGCGTGATGGAGTCCGAACAATGGGCGTGATGGAGTCCAAACAAAGGACTCGATCCTGAGGACGGTGAGTGAATATAAATTCACTTTTTAGTTAAATTTACCTATACCCGGGTTGAGATGACACTATCTAGGGGGTCTTTGAGACTCGGTAATATTTGCGGCAGGGTATTCTCTTGAACTATCTCTTACCTTTTTGCGGTAGGGCGTCCTCTGAGATTACCCATGAACCTTTGGATGATTGGGAATCATTGGTTAGGTGTGGCTAAGAAGAAGGGTTTGTTGAGAGGTTGATCTCCTCTTCGGGGTTTTCTTCATCCTCGGAGAGGTCACCTCCTCGGACAAGATGGTTAGGGAGAATATTCTCCATGTGCCTTGCACATGGGCTTCATCCTACATCATGAGGTGCCTATAAATAGTACCCACCCATAGCTTCACAAGGGTTGGATTTTAGACATTTTTTGAAAAAAAACTAATTTCCCTTCTTCATTATCAACCTTAAGAGTGAAAGTGGAAAATCTATGGGAGAGCCTTGCCATTATTCTCTCTCGAACTAACTACTTTGTTTTTTTCTTTACCGAATCTCTTATCTCCATCGTCTCTTTGCTATTGTGTTCTTAGTTATGACTGTTGAAGAATCAAAACCTCTCATCATTTTTAGAGAAGAGTTTTCTTCAAAGATCTTCGAAGATCTTCAAATTTTTCAATAACATTCTTGAACCCTCTTATACATTTTCTCTTTGCTATTTTGTTCTTAGTTGTGACTGTTGAAGAATCTAAACCTTTCATCATTTCTAGAGAATTCGGATTATCCTATGATCTTCGAAGATCTTCAAATTTTTCGACAACATTCTTGAACCCTCTCATACAGTGATAAGGAGGATGCAAGTGTCTTCCGTCTATAATCTACAAATGAGTGTCTGATTGCATATGAATTGAGCTATGGCTTGTGAATTATCTTTCCTTTATAAGGGATTGATTTTCCAACAGTAGAGGACTAACCTCCTTTTTTAATGGATAAATTACAATAACCTTCCATAAGGTTTATGACAAATACATATCCCTCTTTGTGATTTTGAAAATTACAGAGGTCCTCTAGTTGCTTAATGGTGGTAACGAAAAAATGAAAATTGCCTTATTATCTTCATAAAATTCTACAAGGTTAGGCTTTGTTCATCCATTCCCTTTCCTTCTCTCTTTAACAATCTGGTTATGTTTTTTTTTTTTATTATTATTATTTTTTTATTTTTTTCAGCATCAACAAAATTTCATTAAAAAAGAAAAGTGAAAGAGGACAAGAAGTCCTCATACAAAGAAAGAGAGAGAGAGAAAGAGCAAAACAAAAGCACAAAACTCCTAGCCCTAGGGATGGCAAACAATAGCCAATCTCTAGAGATCAAGAACAAAGGGACTCCTTTAAAAGGAGGGGATACAAATGCCCAAAATGAAGCCAAATATTTCGTCCTATGCCACAAAGCCTCTACACTTGTTTCCTTGTCATCAAAGATTCTAACATTTCTCTCCATCTATATAGCCTAGAAAATAGCAAAAAAAATGCTTGTCCACATTGTTTTGGCTCTCTTGGTTCTCCTAAACCTTTTAAACCTAATAAGAAGCATTTAAATGCAGTCCCGCAGAGCAACCCACTGCTCATCACATAAGCCAAAAAGACGCTACCATAATACACAAGCTATCGGGCAATGAAGGAATAGATGATCCACTACCTCCAAGTTTCTCTTGCACATCACACACCATTGAGGGCAAAGAGAGTGATTAGGCCTTCTCCTTTGGAAAACATCATTACTTGAGACGCTCTTTTGAGCCAATGACCGCATCAAAAACTTCACTTTATGAGGGACAAACGCTTTTTAAATTTTCTTATGAGAAGGAAATAAGGGAATAGAGGGATTATCAATAAGTTATGAAGCATGGACACTCCAAAATCAGTGCCGTGGCGGCTGACACGGGACACGCCGGGGACACGTACGGGACACGTTAGATGGTGTGCCCCTTCAATTTAATAATTTTTTTTGTAGGGGACACGGCGGGGACACACGTGTCCATATGGGGACACGACAGGGGTAATTTTATTTTATTTATTTATTTATTTATCTTTTGTCTCTCTTATTTAGTGCTTTTGTGAAGAATATTGTTAGATGTTGAATGTTTTCTTCTTCTTGTCTTAGTTCTTGTTATCGTTTATTATGACTTTTTTGTAAATGGATGATTTATTAATTTGTTTAAATGTAGTGGTTATATTTATTGAATTAATGTTACTATGTTAGTGTTTGTTAATTTTGATTTAGGATGAATGTAATGTGAATCTACATAACACATAAAAATATATAAAAATAAATAAAATAAAATTCGTCGTGTTCTCTGCTGTGTTTGTGTCCCTATTTTTTGAAAATTGCCATGCTCCCGTGTCTATGTCCGTGCTTCATAGTCAATGAGCTTATCAAAAAAAGACTTACATGAAAAGACCCCTGAGAAAACAAGATTCCACACTCTAATATCACAAGAGGAAGAAAGAGAGACCCCCTTGAGCACTACCAACAAAGATGCCAACTCCACCGCCTTTCTATCATTCAAGTTTCTAATGAGATCAAAATTCCAAGAGAAAGGTGCCATAGAAGAGCATGCCACCGACACTACTGAAACATTTCAAGAACGAACCAACCGGTAAAGAAGAGGAAAAGATCTGTCAAACGAGATATCTCCTAACCAAACATTCTCCCAAAAACGGATGGTCACCCCATTCCCCACTTTCAATAAAAAGAAGTTAGACACAAGTGGATGCAAACGAGAAATGGATTTCCACGGTGAACGACAATTGCTTCTATTAACCACATTAGAATCTCTACCATTGAGTTGAACTCCATACTTGCTTTTAACAACTAAACACCATAGCGATTCACTTTCAACAGAAAATCTCTACAACCACTTGCCCAAGAGAGCAATATTCCTAGCAACGATGTTCCCGATAGCCAAACCACCTTTTTTTTCCTAAGAAGAAAAACAGTCTCTCATCTAACCAAAATGAACCCCTTAGCCCTTTTCACACCCTTTGTAAAGAAAATCTCTCATCAATTTCTCAATTTTCCTCGCAATGTTAACTGGAATTTTGAAAAGGGACAGGAAATAAATAGGAATGGATCCTAATACGGATTGTACCAAAGTATATCTCCCCCCTTTAGACAACAAAGCTCGCTTCCATCCCTACAATCTTTTCTCAATTTTGACAAGAACAGGTTTCCAAAAGGATGCCAATCTAGGATCTCCTCCCAATGGAAGCCCAAGTATTTGAGAGGAAAGGAATCAATGGAACAGCCTAACATATCCGCCACCCTAGCTAAGATTAATACCCACAACATTGCTCTAGCTAAGATTGACCTTGAGGCCCAACACAATTTCAAAAATTCTCAAAATCTTTAGCAAACTCCCCACCATATTTTCCTCCTTTGATGAGAAGAATATAGTATCATCCACAAATTGTAAATGAGTAACTCCAATCCTATCCCTTCTCACCACAAACCCCTCAATGACACCTTTATCCTTAGCTAAATCAATAATCCTACCCAACATATCAACAACTAAAATAAGTAAAAAAATGATGATAAAGGATCACCCTGCCTTAGACCCCTAGATGCCTGAAAAGAATCCCTAGCCTTGCCATTTACAATGACCGATATATTGCATGATGACAAGCACCCCTAAATCTACATTCTCCATCTGACTCCAAACCCCTTCCTTTCCAAAACAAAATCTACAAAGCCCCAATCAACATGGTTATACGCCTTCTCAAAGTCTACCTTAAAGACAATACCTTCCTTATGTAGTCCCCTATACTCCACAACCTCGTTAGCCACTAAGACTGCATCCAATATCTGCCGTCCCTGCACGAACGCACCTTGTGTCGAAGAAATAGTTTCCCCAAGGACACCTCTAATTCTCCTAGAAAGCACCTTCGCTAAAATCTTATAGAGAGATGTAACCAAGCTAAAGGGTCTGGGGGTGTTTGTTTCAGCTTTTTAGAGCCAACTTATGGCTTTTAGTTTTGAAAAAGTTATTTTGGACTGTTTGGTTAAACTTATTTCAAACGGCTTCTGATTCTAACAGCTTATTTTAACTCAAAAAAGCTGATTCTGAGAAGCTGCTCACCCCTTGCTTCTGAATATCAGCTTCTGCTGTGGACATGTTAATTTATGGTTATATTCTTAAATTTTTTTATTTTTTATTTTTTTAAAAATAGAAAAAGACTCAAATGGACTATAGATTATTATTATTATTTTTTAATGAGAAATGTAGACAAACAAAAAATAAAATTAATTGAAAAAGTTATTTCACAGCTTATTTAACAACCACTACTTAGCAACTTAAATATATAATCCAACAGTTACACCAAACAGATTAACAACTTCTGATTAAAGTCATAATCTATAATCTGTTAAGCTATAATCTATAAGCTGTTTTAACAGCTACACCAAACGGGGCCTCTAAAATTTCCAATTTTGACCGATTTCTCCTTTTTGGGAATTAGACAAATGAAGGATGCATTGGTGTACAAATTAACCTTCCCACTCTCAAAGAACTCACCAAACACTCTCAAAAGATTCCCTTTTACAGTCTAGTTATGTTAGGACCTTAAAGTGCACCAATTAGGAAAAAGATTTGAGGAAATTGACTAAGATGGCTTGGTAGCTAAACACACTGCATGAAGTTATTTTACTTGTGGTTGGGTGCTTGTGTTTGGTGCAGGGGAATGGTCTAGTCTCTGGGCGTTTACTAGGACTCCTTGTTGAGAGTTTGCTCTGCAATCAACTGCCATCTGTCTTTGTTTAAAAACCAGAATATTCCTTACATTGCTTCTAGTATAATGCCTCTTTACTAGACCTTTTTTCTTCTTGTTTTTTAAACTCCCTTTTTAGGGATATGTTCACTAGAAAGTTGTATTTCTATCTTCCCTATTTTGTCTGGAATCAAGTCAGTCGTATTATTTGAGCAAAATAATATCCAGGATTTGGTTATGGAGAAGCCACACTACTTTGTGTTTTCAGTGAACATATTATTTAACCCTTTAAACAAAGGAAAAAACAGCCTCCTGGTCTCATTTTCAGGGTTTGTCTGTAAGAAATCATAAGCTTCTCTGAATACTCGCTGTTGTATGCCACAGTTAGTGTCTAGCCTCTTTGAAATCATAAATGCCTTCCCATGTCGAAAGGAACTGATGGAATTATCTATATTGTTGTTTCCAGCTATGCAGGAACATGGAGTGATAAATACAAGGACAGAGATGAAAGGAGATTTGGGTCAACAACAAATCAGCTTCCATCAACCAGAGACTTTTTAGGGGACTTCTTGGTATGGCGGCCTCCAGTTGGTTTGGAGAATAACCAAGCTTTCTGGGTAGCTTTAACATTATGGATGGGTGTGGTTGCAGCTGCACTCTTTCTTCAAAGATGAAGCATGTATGAATGCTAGTTGCAATTGTTCTGTCGGATCACAACTTGTAAGGTGTGGTCATTGTTGAACATGTATTATTGTAAATGAACTTTTATTCCAAGATCCTCGTGAAATATATCAAATGTTTGAAACAAAAAAAGTATGATTATTTCTTGAATGCTATATTATTCTTTAATCTCTGAAATCTGTTGTGAATGTGGTGTTTCTTTTTTATTGATAGCCACAATCATATCACGTTTCTTTTACAAAAATAGACAATCTATTCTTGAAAGTATGTGTAGGTGTGTTTTTTTAAGACAAATATGAGTTGATCACATAGTTACTCATGTCTGATCAATATGAATATTTACATGAATGATAATAAGTCTTACAAAAATAAGTTGTTTGGAGCACCAAATTAGAATTTGAAATGGGCCTAATAGCACCTCATGTCTTACGAGATGAGTTAAGATGAGTTGGACCCTTGATACCCTATAAGGTGCCAAACGCTGTCTAATTGTGCCATCCCAGTAAGTTTTATATGGTACCTTGAAGGTGGCCATGGGTTGAATTGGTTTATATTAGAATCAAATAGAATTGAATGGACATTGAACAAGAAATCTCAGCTTTTTATACCCAGAATTGAACTAACTGTATAATGGCATCAAAATAACCAAATCGAGCCCTTTAATAACTAACTTTTGAAGGTCGAGTTGATTCAATACTTTAATTAGACGGTCTTTGAGTGATTTCTCACTCCAAAACAAGAGTTAAAAGAAAGAAATACTCTTTATTATTCCATGCGTCCCAATTTAATGGCCCTTTTGAGAGTGTCAACTTTTTATTTTTTATTTTGATTTTTTAAAGACATGCAATCATTATACTTAAATTCAAAATTTAAAATATTTTTTCAATAATGCCCTTTTCTCTTCAATTTTTTAATATATTTATAATCATTCAATAGGGATAGGATAGTTTTGAAAAATCACATATTAATTACTTTGACTTTTTAAATTGGACTATTATTTCGAGAAAATCTCAAAATAAAATAATGGATCAATAAAATGACACCGAGGGAGTACTTGTTTTTGTTGGTTTTTATTCTTTGTTTTACTTGCATTATACGAAAATGTTAACAAATTTGAGTACTAAAGTTTGGATGTTATTTGAGTGTCATCAACGTTTCCATTGTATTTCATTTTTTCCATTTTCAATTTTCATTCTACTATCAATAAAAAAAAAATAAAAAATCATTTTCCTTTTCATGTTTTGCAAAACAATTTCAAAAAGACAAGTTTTTTTTTTTACAAAAATAATTTTTATTGGTGTTTCTTACAAAAATTAATTATGAATAAAATAATTTTTTCAAGAATAATTTTCAATTTTTTTTGGGATAAATTATAAGTACACCCTTGATATTTATTTAAAATATAAATTACCCCTACAATTTGAAATTATAAATACCCCTTATCAAAATTTGTCATTTACTAATAGAATTGATAGAAAAATAAAAATATTATTAATTGAAAATATCAAAATTGTTAATTGAAAATATTATTAAAAACTATTAATTGTTGATAGAATTAGTAGTTGATTAATAAAAAAAGTTATTTATTATGCAATTAGCAATTTTAAGAGGTAAAATGTAATTTCTAAAATCATAAGAGTTATGGGTGTGTATCGTATGCACCTTATAATTAAAGAAGAAAATAATATAACAATTTCATACTTTTTGAGTCATAACTAAAATAAAAAAAAATAACCAAACAATACATGAGACATAACCAAAGATCTTATCAGTTATAACTAAATAAGAAAATTAGTCATAACTAAATAAGAAAATAACATAATGTAGGGATGCATATGGTAGGAATGTATAATAGAATTTTCCAAAGGGTGTATCTATAATTTATGACCTGGTTGGGGATATTGGCCCCATTTGGTAAACCTGTAGGAAAGTAATTATAGCTTATAGTTTAACAACTTATAGTTGTGAACATAAGCTGATTTTTGACTTACAAATTAAGTTTCTCCTCCCCCACTCAAAGAATAAGTTGATTTTTGACTTACAAAAAGCTATAAGTTGTATTGTTAAGCTGAACCAAACACATTAAAATAGTTTAAATTAAGTTAAAAGCTTAAATAAGCTGGAAATAAGCCCTACCAAACAGGGCCATTGTTTTTTTGACTTTTTTTAGTTAAAATAGTCAATAAAGATAAAATAAGTTAAAATAGTCAATAAGATAAAAGCCCTGTTTGGTAGAGCTGTGGGAAAGTGCTTATAGCTTATGCCTAAACAGCTTATAGCTTATAACTTTCAGCTTAAGCTGATTTCCAGCTTATTCTTAAAGCATCTCCTGTCCCACTCAAAGAATAAGTTGATTTCTGACTTCCACAAAGCTATAAGCTATAAGCTATAAGCTAAACCAAACACATCAAAATAGCTTAAATTAAGCTGAAAGCTAAAATAAGCTGTAAATAATTTCTGCCAAACAGGCACAAAATGTCACATCTAAATTATAATCATTTCAACTTTTCTCTATCATAACTATCAAATCAACTAAAAAAAAAAAGAAGCCAAATATCATCACACAACTTTTTAAGGCAGATTAAAATAGCCAAATAACTAAAAAAACCAATTAAAATAACCAAATTTCCATCCACCAAAATAAAATATCTAAAACTAAAAAACGAAAACATTCCATTTCCCTTCATACCCTGATTAGAATTTGATTTTGGTTTTCAGAAAACACTTTTCAAAAAATTTTACTTTTTTATTTTCTGTATTTTTTATTTTCAAGGATTTTTAAAATATTTTAAGCAATTTTTAGGCACACCTAACATAAATACACTTAAAAAGTATAATATTTGTGAAAAAAATCTTTTAAAAAATCACTAAATAACAAAAATATAAAAAAATATGAAAATTCAGTATTTTTTTTTTATATTTTTGTATATTTATTATTTTTTTAAAATATTTTTTCACAAATATTTTACATTTAGATACATCTAAGTAAGTTACATCTAAAAAAGTAAAAAATTGCTTAAAATTTAAAAAAATATTCACTAAAAAAAAACGACAAATAAAAAACTCAATTTTCAAAAAAACTGAATTCAAAAAATTGAAACAAAATATATTGAATAATTCACAACAAACTCGGGGGGCAAATCTGTAAAACCAAGCAAAACCAATCACACCCGTTCCCCCTTCCAATAAACACCCCTCCAAAACCCTAGCTAGCTTCCGCTATCATTTCTCTACTCCGCTGCTCAAACCTCTACATAGAGAGTTTTAGAGAGAGAGAGAGAGAGAGAGAGAGCATGTAACAACCCTCATACTGTTTACCGATTAATGACTGATTGATTACCGATAACCATCGATTACCGTTAAACTGAATTGATTATGACTGATAATTGAACTGATTAAGAATACTGAACTGACTGACTGAAAACTGGAACTGAATTGACTGAGTATGTACGTTTGAATTGCACTCTATCTGTCGATTGTTTATTTGATCTGTTCGTATTTTATGTTTAAACTGCTAATTGAAGGCCTTATCGGCGGCCGAACCAGGAATTGATTGATGTTTTATGATCCTCATAATTAATATGATTTTATGGTGTAATTATCTGAAAACTGTTAGGTACGATTAAATTAGATTAAAATGAGTTAATTGTAATAGTTGCCTTATTTACCTTATTGCCATTGTTAGTGGGCCTTTATTATGACATGTTAGAGCCTTTGTATGCTTGAAACAAACATTTTTGCTCACCTCATTTCTTGCTTTTGCCGACTAGAGAGAGAGAGATAAGGGAGAGAGTTAGATTTCACCTCATTTGGCTTGGTTTTGCTTGGAAATTGAAGAAATTGAAGTATAGATTTCATAATTGAGCTCCTAGTTTTGCATTGGAGACCTAAGGTAGAGTAATTACCCTCTTCTTTATCTTGTTCTTGCATAATTTATGTCAAAATTGAAGATTGAGCCATGGATTAGTTCTAGCATGTCGACATAGAGCATAATTCATGCATGCATGTTTGAATTATTGAGTTTTGAGTTGAATTCATGGTCAAATGGTACTTGCATGTTCATAATTTTGTAATGGTCCATGTTTTCAACTTGTTTTTGGATCAATTGGCTCCATAGAGCATCAAGTTGGAGCTTCAAATGATTTAAATTCATGCATGTTTGCATGTTCATATTGTTCTTGGAAAATGGTTTGAAATTGAGTTTGAATTAAACACCCTTGGGCTTTGATTTCTTAAATTGAGCTTTGAACCATGTTATTCTATGTGTTTATAAATGTTTTCCAGAAAATGGGCCCAAGAGGATTGGTTTTGATGCATTTAAAACTTGAGTTTGAGCTTGGAGGTGCAATCTCGGATTTCCAGATTTTGCACTCCCGCTCGAGCGGGGGGGAAGTGGCGCTCGAGCGGGGAATTCGAGCATCCAGCATCTCTGCACTGTTTTACAATCCGCTCGAGTGGAGGACTGGGCGCTCGAGCGGAGTCTTGTGTCTCAAGCTTGAGCGGGCGTCGAGCGTTCGTCGAGCGGAGATTTCACCCATCCAGTACTTTTACAGTACGCTCGAGCGGGAAAGTTGACGCTTGAGCGTGTACCTTTGTTGCATGTCCGCTCGAGCGGGGAAACCTGCGCTCGAGCGGGACTCTGTTTTTCTGAAAATGGTTTCACATGTGCATCTTCGCATCCTCATCCCATTCTAGGCATTCTTAGGCCTAGTTTAAGACATCTTGTTGAGGATATGGATGTAGAACACATCGAGGCAATTAGGGATTAAGTGATTATCTTTCCCAGTGTAGCTTAGTGTGTTCAATCTGTTAACTGTGTAGGGTTGGCGACTGGGGAGGCACGCTCTAGCATACCGTAGCCCGAACTTTGTGAGTAACGATTGTGTAAAGATATGTTCACAAATGATTATTTTCTGAACAACTGAACTGTACTGTTTCTGAACTGATTACTGTTAACTGAATGAATGTATGTCGTATATTCTGAACTGTATTGTGGCATCCTTAGCACCTACTGTTACTGTTACTGTTACAGAGATCTCTGTCGGTTCCCTTGTTGGAACCACTACTGTTTACTGACTGATGGCCATCATTACTGTTCGGTCTTCTAGACCTACCGTTTACTGTTATGCTAACGGGTGTACCACATATGACTGTTTACTGTACAGAACAACTGAAATACTGATTGAAATGAACTGTTTTCATACTGTAAGGACATTCATTCTAAACCTCTTTACGCACTATGTTATTCACTGGGCTTTAGCTCACTGCTCATATATATATGTAGGTGTACAGGCACCAGACCGCGGCTAGGAGCGTCAGGGTTACTCCAGTTTTGTCAAGCCAGCCTATGTGCCTCACTGCGAGGTTCCGAGCCTATCTGTTAAGGCTTAGTGGTGTTTTAGATTTCCCCCTTCTGTACTGTTTTACTGTTCTGTATAGACTGAATGTTACCGTACTGTTATGCAGGGATTAAGTCCCTAGTCTGAATGATTGTAAATATTGTGCATACTGTTCTGTACCGTTATGTATGAATGTATGAAAAATCTTTTTGGCATACAGATTGTCACAGCTCATTGGGCATTGTTTATTTACTGTTTTGGCTTCCGCCAGGCCCTGTACTCTGTTTTACTGTACTACTGTTCTGTAGGCCTTCGGTAATCTCGGATTATTGGCCGGTTACGGTGCTAAACCCATAGGGCCGGGTTTGGGTCGTGAGAGAGCAACAATGATGACACGGTTGAAGAAACACAGGAAGAAGAGGGCCCACGTCAGTGTCGTCCACAACCGTATCAAAAAACATAGAAAACATCCTGGCGGATGACGAAACGTAGGAGGAATGCACTACCACAGCATCCTCTTCGACAAGTACCATCCAGGTTACTTTGGCAAAGTCAGTATGAGGTACTTCCATAGGCTCCAGAACACGTTATATTGCTCCATTGTCAACATCGACAAGCTCTGGTGTCTCGTTCCTCAAGAAATCAAGGCCAAGGCTTCCCCAACCAATGCTCCGATGATTGATGTCACTCAGTTTGGTTGCTTCAAGGTTCTTGGTAAGGGCGTATTGCCTTAATCTATGTCGATCGTTGTTAAGGCTATGATTGTTTTGAAGACTGTTGAGAAGAAGATCAAAGAAGATGGTGGTGCCGTTGTTTTCACCGCTTAGGTTTGCTTTTGTTTTTTGAAATTTAGAGTTTTGAGTTTTACTACACTTTAGGCGTATTCATGATGATATTTTTATGATTACTATTAGGGATGGGCGCGGGTCGGTTGCGGCCACAGAACCTCTAATTCGTCATCCGTCTGCCAGATTGACGGATTGGAGAAAATCAATTCGCATCTGTCCACCAATCCGGCGGATGTGGATTGAGCGGATTGGCGGTTTAAAATTTTATAAATTTTCAACATAATTCAACTTGTGCACTTCCTAAAAAAAAAAGAGAAGAAAGTATTACAATCAATGATTTAAAAAAATATTACAATCACTGTATGCCTCATCCAAAGTAAGAAAGTTTGAAATTTTAGAATATCACAATCACTGCATGCCTCATCCACATACTACAATCACAGCATGCCTCATCCACATAAAGTATTACAATCTGTAGTTCTTAAAATATAAAAACAATTCAAACCACAAAAATCATGAACAGAGCAGTAGTAAAGATTGTATGTCTTTGTATTGTCACATCTATATTTGTTTTTGAAAACAAAAACTAACCAGCATATATCATATTTTCTATTTATTATTTTTAGAGATAGATTTAAAAACCAAAAAATATATATAAATAATACGTTTATTTTTTTCAATTCAAAAAAGATATTCAAGTTGAAAACTTTTTTCCAATAGAATATTTAATTTTTTTTAATTGAAAACACAAACAGAATATTTAAACAAACTGAAAACACAAAGTCTTATAAATTACTAGGGGTGCTCGCGGTTTGACGGTTCGGTTGCGGCCAAAGGAATCTCAAATCCACCATCCGTCCGCCAGATTGACGGATTGGAGAAAATCAATCCGCAACCATCTTGTTGTCATCACATATCCGTCCAAAATGCAGCGTATCGGTTCGGTTTGGTTCGGTCAGTTTTGACGGATCGGTATATCCGCTGCTCACCCCTAATTACTATGTTTAGCTTTTAATGATGCAATGCAATATTATTGTTTTTTTGTTTATGTTCAAAGTAATTTCTAAACTCATTTTGTTTTGGATTTGTCATGTTGGTTATATGTGGTTTTGATTTATTGTTTTTCAGTTGGGTTTTAGTCGCTTAGTTGAATGATGATTAAATTTTGGTTGTTATATTGAGGAGCAAGTCTAAATTAATTACTGCCTACTTGAATTGAGGTCGTGTTTGTTTCATGGATTTGGAAAGAAAATGGGAAAAAAAAAAATGTGAAATGTGAATAAAATATAATTATATTTTGTACATATTTTTCATTTTTTAAATCTCTCTTCAAATTCATGAACTAAACACAGTTTGAGGGTTTTGGCAAGCAAAGAAAAGAAATGGAAAAAATGAGGTTTCTTATCATTTGTTTAGATGATTAATGAGGCGAGTAATGGTGAGAAATGAGGAGAAATGATGAGAAAGTCAAATTACACCAAACTTATGTTTTGATATTTGGTGAGAAACAAAAACTACTATTTTAATATTAATCCATCCAAATATGAAAGTGAGAAACTACAATTATTATTATTATTTTTTTTCTCACCTAGATAAGAAAATTAGTTATAATTAAAGAAGAAAATGACATAAGTTAGGATGCATATAGTAGGGGTGTGTATAGTAGAATTTTTCAAAGGTTTATCTATAATTTATGGCCCTGTTTGGGATATAGCCTTTTCAGTTAAAATAGTTAATAAAGACAAAATTAGTTAAAATAGTCAATAAAATAAAATGTCACATTTAAATTATAATAATTTCATAACTATCAAATCAACTGAAAAAAAGAAGAAGCCAACTATCATCACATAACTTTCCATTCAAATAACTAAAAAACCAATTAAAATAACCAAATTTCCATTCAAATAGGGCCAACATATGTTTGGCTTCTGTTTTGAGATAAATTTTGATTTTTTTTTTTTTTTTGGGGAGAGGGAGTTTATAATTTTTTTTGATTTGTTTGGTTGTATATTTTGAAAATAATTGTGGAATTTGAGAGTTTTGGATAATTTCATATTTTGTTATAGATGAGTAAATTTGTGTGAGAGAAAAAGTAACTGAAAATGAGAGAGGAGAGAGAAAAAGAGATTGATTGATGTGTAGGAAAGAGAAAGTGATTTTGGAAAAAAATTTCAAAAAATTTGAATCAAACAAAATTTTGAAATTTTTTCTAAAAAATTATATCTTAAGATACAAACTAAACAAGTTCAAAATTTTATAAATAAAAATTAGGGTGAATTACACTAATATCCCTATAGTTTGGGGTTCGTGTCACTTTGGTCCCTGACTTTTCAATTGTGATACATTTAACTCTGAATTTTTAATTTTGTTCTAAATAAGGACAATTGAAGATACCATTGCTCAATTTCAATAACAAAGTCGTCAATTTGATAAAATATAAACTAATTTGACCAAAAAAAATATCAAAAAAATACTTTTGAATTTTTAAAAATAATTTCTACCAACCAATGATAAAATTATATAAAATTGATAAATCTTTTAGACATTTATTTATTTATTTTACCAAATTAATTTTTATTATGTGTTTGGATGATGATTATGTAATAGGTGATTATTAGGCTTTTAATGTGTAATCGATATATTTAATATATGAAATATTTTTAGTTTTGAATTTTTTAATTTAATAGATTGATTTAATAATGATATCGAAATTATTGCAATATTTGACTTTTGAAAAAATATAAACTAATTTAATAAAAATAAAAACAATCACTCATTATAAGATTATCATCCAAATACATAATAAAAATTAATTTGGTAAAAAAAAAATAAATGTCTAAAAATTTATCAATTTTACATAATTTTATCTTTAGTGGGTAGAAATAAAATTTTAAAATTCAAAAATATTTTATTCACATTTATTTTTATCAAATTAGTTTATATTTTATCAAATAGACGACTTTGCCTTTGAAATTGAGCAATGATATCTTTAATTGTCTTTATTTAGAGCAAGATTCAAAATTCAAGGTTAAATATGTCACAATTAAAAAGTCAGGGACCAACGTGACACAAGACCCAAACTATAGGGACCGTTAGTATAATTCGCCCTAAAAAATAAAAAGTAAAAAATGAAAACATTCCATTTCCCTTCATGCTCTGATCAGAATACCAATCAGTGTGTTTTGTTTCAGTTTTCTAAATTTAATTTTTTGAAAATTGAGTTTTTATTTTTTGTATTTTTTTGTATTTTTAGTGAATATTTTTTTTTAAATTTTAAGTAGTTTGTTTGTTTGTTTTTTTACATTTTCAGATGCACCTTATTTAAATATATGTAAATAGTAAAATATTTGTAAAAAAATTAATAAATACACAAAAATATAAAAAATATACTGAATTTTCGTATTTTTTGATATTTAATATATTTTTTTAATTTTTTTATAAATATTATACTTTTAAGTATATTTATGTTAAGTTTGTTTAAAAATTAAAAAAGATTACTTAAAATATTAAAAAAATTCATTAAAAATATTAAAATATGAAAAATAAAGAAGTTAAATTTTTTAAAAACTATTTTCTAAAAATAAAAAAGTTAAACTATTTTCTCAAATCCGTAAAACCAAGCAAAACCAATCACACCCGTTCCCCCTTCCAATAACCTAGCTAGCTTCCTCCATTTCTCTCCTCCGCCGCTCAAACCTCTACACCGAGAGTGTGAGAGAGAGAGAGAGAGAGAGAGAGAGAGCAGCAATGACGACACGGTTGAAGAAGATATAGCCTTTTCAGTTAAACGTCAGCGCCGGCCACGGCCGCATTGGAAAACACAGAAAACATCCCGGCGGGCGAGGAAACGCCGGAGGAATGCACCACCACCGCATCCTCTTCGACAAGTACCATCCAGGTTACTTCGGCAAAGTCGGGATGAGGTACTTCCACAGGCTCCGCAACAAGTTCTATTGCCCCATCGTCAACATCGACAAGCTCTGGTCTCTCGTTCCTCAGGAAATCAAGGCCAAGGCTTCCCCAACCAATGCTCCGATGATCGATGTCACTCAGTTTGGTTACTTCAAGGTTCTTGGTAAGGGCGTATTGCCTCAATCTATGCCGATCGTTGTCAAGGCTAAGATTGTTTCGAAGACTGCTGAGAAGAAGATCAAAGAGGCTGGTGGTGCCGTTGTTCTCACCGCTTAGGTTTGCTTTTGTTTTTTGAAAGTTAGGGTTTTGAGTTTTACCACACTTTGGGCGTAAACAAGATGACATTTCTATGATTACTATGTTTAGCTTTTAATGATGCAATGCAATATTATTGTTTTTTGTTTCTGTTCTGAGTAATTTCTGATCTCATTTTGTTTTGGATTTGTCATATGGGTTGTGGTTTTGTTTTATTGTTTTTCAGTTGGGTTTTAAGTGGCTTAATTGAATGATGATTAAATTTTGGTTGTTATATTGAGGAGCAAGTCTGAAAC